CTATTTCCAGCCGCGCCCTCAAGCCTGGTAGAGGCTAAATGATAATGCAATAAACTTCATTGTGTTATATCAATAATTGACCACATTGAACAATATTACTTACAAACGTATACGAAGGTGTACGTCATCGGCGGGTACGACGGGCAGCGGTGTCTGGAGGACGTCGAACGGTACGACCCAGACAACGACAAGTGGGAGCGGCTCGCGCCTCTGGTCCACGCCGTCAAGTGTCCCGCGGTGGCCGCCTACGACGGCAGGATCTACGTCTTTGGAGGGTTCTATGACGGGTATGTAAGAGTGTGAGGGTTTATATATAGAAAGAAATTTATTGACACAACATAAGTACAGCGACTTTCGTAAGGTCTACGACTGCATGTAGGTATGCAGACAAATACATGGGTACAACGAAATTAACCTACGTACAAAGCAATAGATGAGTCAACTAATACTACTTGTTCTGAGGGCTAAACATTCTTTGATATATTTACCTATTTGTACACAGTAAGGGTTATTACCTTCTATGATGAAATTAAATTTATCTATAGCATGAAATGTAACAAATTGTTGAGCAAGCGGAGAGAAGGTTGAACAGCTTTGTGCGTTTATCGTTATATAGTGTAACAGTGAGGGGTTTATTGGCGCTACCAACTGACCCGGCCGATGGGTCTAAGACCTTTTAGCTGATTCAGTAGGAGCGTCGGATTGTAAGCTGGCGCCTGGGGGCGTGGGTTCGAACCCCGGCCCGGGACCAGGAGGGTTTTTATCTGTTTCTACTGGCTCCTCCTGTTTCTTACAGGTACAACATCTCCCGGCAGCTACAGTGCTACGATCCGCACACCAACTCCTGGAGCGTGGTGGAGTCTAACATGATAGACTACACTTGCGCCCATGCCGTTCGACTGGACAACCGGATATACTTACTAGGTGGGCACTCATATTTGTGTTTTGGCTATCTGGGTAGATATTAGCATGAAAGTTCATCTGTGTTGGTATAATTCATTATGACAAACAGGGCTAAACGTTCTTGCCAACACTGAGTAACTTGGGACTTACCCTAAATTTTCGGCCGGCTCGGTCTCGCTGGACAAAGTGAAAATTCTGGACTCAGCACCAGATTTCTTTGCCAGAGGAGTAAAGGAGGCGGTGTACATTCGGGTCAAAAGTCCAACACTGAACCGAAAATTTGGGTAAGTCACACTTTACTCAGTGTGGCAAGAACCGAAGCCTGTAGTGGCTGGGAAACGCTATTGATTATGTTGCATTGGACAGGCAGGCAAAGCCTGGTAGAGGCTAATCTTATCTGTGGCGTTTCGTTTGCTTCCAGGAGGCTCCTCCAAGACGGTGAAGGCTTACGACCCGTCGGACGACTCCATCGTGCGCGTGGCCGACATGAACATCAAGCGGGATAACTGCGGGGTGAGCGTGGTGGGCGGGAAGATCTACGTGTCCGGGGGCGTCACGGAGTCGAACGGGCCCGCCCTGGACTGCATCGAGTGCTACGATCCGCGGAAGGACGAGTGGACGTTCGGCGGGCACAAGCTGCCGTGCCAGCTGTACCGACACGGCTTCGTCACAGTGCAGATGTACAAGGAGGATATACACGCAGGGCAGACCTAGCGCAGAAAAAACATGCTTCATCAAAGAACAACCTTTCCTCAATTCCTCTCTTTTCTTGCTCTTAAACTACAGAAAAGGCACAGTTTGTCAAAGGAGGTTAACTGTTAATGTACAACTGTCTTGTCACCGAAAATGCTGTGGTAGGTCCTTGTCCACAATGCAACAAAACATGCCGCACTGCAAATGTGACGCCGAGCTAACTCTCAATGAGACCAATTATTTCTCCAGAATGATTGCCTAGAGCTAAATGTTGTAGATTGCGATACGTTAAGTTTCACCGGCAAAATGCTACAATTAGGTGATCCCTGTATGTGACTCCTTTGGATTGTAACCAGTATGAACCTATATCCAAGACTGATTTTTGTAAGTATATGTTTATATATTTGTACGGGTGATAGTAAATGTACATGGATGGCTTTATGTTGGTAGGAATGGAAACCGTGGGACATGTGCTGGTAAATTCAACTATGATGGATTCTACATTACGTGATTTATTCCTTTATTATAGTTATTATATAAATACACGTTAAGCAACACTACGATGGCATGTTCTAAATGTCAGCTGGAATGTGTTAAGTTGAATCCTGAAGGAACATGACAATATAGCCCTGAACCCACCGACATGACATTAAGGTGGTGGCAAAATCGTGTGAATGATAAAGTTATAGACTCGTAAGTGGAATAAGACAATGAAAATAAATACATGTATTAACTTAATGTTTCTGTATATTTTAAAATGCCTTGTCAAGATTCAGCAGAGGAATAAATCAGATATTTCATTGTGTAAATTTCGGTGTAATGTTTTTTTCGCTGCCGGAAAATATGTCAAAGGGGTACGTAAGTAGAGACTTGCACCATTTGCTTTCGCGTCCCTATCGTAAATAAAAGATAACTAGAGAGGTAACATTTGGAAAGCAAATACACAATGTTTACCTTCGCATATGGTCTGCTCTATTACTCAAACAGATTCATATATATGGGTTACAGGAGTCTAAATCCCTCCTGCTATAAAATTGACCATATTTGTTTGGAGAAGAGGAAGAAGAAACAGAGCAAAAACAATATGTTTTCCTTCTGCGACGGTAAACATAAAAACACGATTTAAGGTTCCGAAAGTTGTAATTTCGTACACTGTATCTGTATACAGAGCCCAAATGCATGACCGCGACTTCCCTACCGAACAAACCTGAACGTTGGGGATACAAGTTACAACAATGCCTCTGTAAACAAAGCTGAAGGGTCATATGCGGGAAACCACCCGGATAATGTTACCTGGGTAAAACTGGACAAGGAAAGACGGCACGAAGTTTTGGCGCAGGACGGCGACTAACGGAACATCAGGACATATGGACGTCTAAAAAAGACATGGACTGTTTGTGGGTGATATTTGCGGGAACTTTCACGTTGTTAGCGCACACAGGCCGCGGTCAGGACGTCACGGGGTCCAGGAAGTCGGCACAGGTAAGTGGGACACCTGTCGGAGGGGGGGGTGCATTCTAGCCTCCTGTGCAGGCCTCCGGGCGGGTGGGAGTTTTGTTTCATACCGCGTTTTGTATAATTTTTAACGCGTTCTTTTGCCGGCCATGCTACAACCAGCCGCCCAGAGAAGGTTTGTACCCGCCGTGGCAAAACGCAGTATCAAAACTCACCTGCACAGGAGGCTATATATAGCTGGGTGCATTCCATGTTTAACAAAGTTGTTAACGTGTTTGACAACGAAACACAGTCATACCCAACAAAGAGAACATGTCGTCGGCCCTGCGTTTAACTAGATCTTTTTGACATGTCGACGGTATTTTATCTGATCATATGATGTATCAATACACTGTTTATTGGCATGATCTCAGACATTGACATGTTCAGAAAACTTTCGTCTGTAACCACTATGTAATCTTGCACAATTGAATGCTTAACATTCATGTATTTAAGTAAAATCAGTGTCAAGATCTTGTGAACTCAGGTCCATAACCGATGTATGGAACGCACCAGTAGTCTACTTCTATTCATATGCATCTCAAAGTAATGTCTATAAGACTGTACATTCGTGTGTAGTTTTTTTTTGCATATTTCTCAGGTGAACTAAACGTGTTTTCCCATTCTGTAGGTTAGTCCTACATGTCGACCAGTGTACAGCACAGAACCGTGCCCACAGAACGTGTGTTCCTGCCCGCCCTGTCCCGCCTGTGTGTGCCAGTGTTACAGGGACAACGTCACATCGTCTGCTACAGCACCGCAGCCCACACAGGGGGTCTGTACACAGGACGGAACAGGTAACCATCATGGCAGGCCGGGATCAGGTTCTACACAGACGTCTACTAGTATTACGTGCAAAAACCATCGTATTACTTCCTCCTTTTGGGAGGGCGACAGGGCTATTTTGTACTCAGGACAAAAGATTTAGAGACTATTTAGGAGCACCAAGCTTATAAGTGGGGTCGCAAGAAATTCAAATCAAAATCGGCCTTAGAAATAGCCACCTTTCCTTTCATCGCCATATGGTTACTCTATCTGAAACCATTTAAATTGTAAAGGGACATCGTTATATATAAGAAACATGTAGTATTATCGAGCGAGGACGTTTGTTCATTTTATGTGAACGGCTCTACATTGTGTGTTTATCCAATTGTTTATTTACTCCATTCCAGAAGACAAATTGTTGGTCAATGTGACCACGTGTAGATTACTGGATGAGTTTGATCTATAGTGTCTAATACATGAATACATGATATTTCATGTATCCGGGTTTCTTTGCCACAGGTTCAGTAAGTTTTGCTGGAGGATGTGACGTGTTGTACAAGAGCGGTGTCCGAGGGAACGGTGTCTACACAATAGACCCTGACGGCGGAGGCCGGATAGAGGTCTACTGTGACATGGAGAGCGACGGGGGAGGGTGGACAGTCTTCCAGAAGAGACAGGTGTGAGAACAACATTGGGCGGGCCGGGTAAAAATGGGACAGGATTGTATTTCAGGAAAGAATGATTTGCACAAGGTATCTGTATCTGTATCGATATAGCCGGTATAACCGCCCTTCGGCGTAACACACCAGCTTCACAGGCACGCGGCGCGGCGGCAGCTAGCTATATCACACCGAACGACTTGTTACACTCAATCTTTACACATTTCATTGCAGGAGTTGTTTAAAGCATTCTAGTGATGATGCCCCAACTGTGCTTGGTGGCAACGAGGTAGATGACAAGGAAAAGAAAAAAAGACCTCAGCGGCGACGGTTTCAAAATGCACGAATTTTGCCTTTTATTCCATACTGAGCTCTCCTCTAAACGATCTTATCTTTTGAGTTCCTTATAGCTTTGCATTTGAAAATAATACTGAATTGGATGGTTAGACGTTAGACATTTTCATTTCTGCACCAACATTGAAAATACGCCGCGCTTCTTTATTCGCAACTCATTTTGTTCATGTTTAACGTTAAAACTTTTGGTCCAATACAAAAAATTCTCTCACCTAGAGCTTTCGATCAGTCACTCTGGTCTTCCTCAGTAGACTGACCCACTGACTCAGTTTCTTCAAATTGTCGCTATTTATTTTGTTTCAGGACGGGTCTGTAGACTTCTTCCGCGACTGGGAGGCCTACAGGAGAGGGTTCGGCGACCCACGTGAGTTCTGGATCGGCCTGGAACACATCCACCGTCTGACCAAAGCTCGGCCGACGGACCTCCGGGTGACACTGGCCGACTCAGGGGGCACCGAGAAATTCGCGCGGTACAGGTGGGTATAAGGCTGTGGATAGCAACCCCTTTTCGCATAGTCTGCAAGCGCTGAGCGACCTAAAATTAGGAAGATCTCTCAACGAATTTTGTTGTCATTATGCAGCAAGATTAAACTGTAATTTCTAACACAAGAAATTGGACTCGCCCAAATTTTCGACTGTACAACTCCGGTCTTTGTCAAGGAATGAGCAATCCACCGCTTCCGTGACGTCACGCAAATAACACACAGTTTTCATTAAAATTATCACAAGAATTTGTTAAACGTTGACTTAAAAGTTTACCACTTCTATCTAGTGCGAGATGACGTAACCATTATTGTTAGCTGAATGGTTGGCTGTCGTACTGGTACTATTTCAGGGGTTTCAGAGTCGATGATGAGGGCGCGAACTACACGTTACGCCTGGGCCTGTACCTGGAGGGTTCGGCGGGAGATTCGCTGGAGTACCACAGGGACATGGCGTTCAGCACCAAGGACAGGGACAACGACAGATCGGCGGCCAACTGCGCGGAGGACGCTAAGGTAACCACATGGTTTCGAACTATAGCATTTCCTAAAATCAAGCAGAAAGCTCTAAAGATGCAGTATTGTTGGGTATTTAGATCTAGATGATTAATAAATGCAAAATTCCTAGGGAAAGGCCCTTCATTAATCTCCAAGCAGATCCCTTTCGGTGGCAAAAAGACAGTATCAAATTGGCCAGGCAGTATCCATTAGCCAGAGAAGGTCCGCGGCCACCAACGGCCATATATAAAAATGTAACGATCATTCCCCCACAACCTCTGCTTGGAGAGTAGCCCTTCATATGGTTTTCCCCACTCCATTTAGGTGCAAAATTGGTACACCTGACTTCGTATATGCCTGGGGTGGTAAAGGCAGTGGAAGGAGAGGGATGGGCTCTGCCTTCTAATACCTGGTGGCTAGTGTTCTAGACACAGTGGACCCACAACTCACCGCCCTTCCGCCCCAAAAAATGCCGGAGCTACCTTTTAATATCGAATATAGCCTCAATAGCATGCCAAAAACTGGGAGTTTTGGCATGTTGGGGGGGTCTTCAGGGTCTTTGGGAGCTTTTCTGTTCTATTTTCTGATTGCATATAGACAACATAGCCGGCCTGGTTGAATTACCCCGTTTTTAACTGGGCTAATCAGAAAACAGCCAAAGACCACCAATCCCCCAGTTCTATAAGCCTGCTACGGAGGCTAATCAGAAACAGCCGAAGACCACCAAACCCCCGGTTCTATAAGCCTGCTACGGAGGCGAATCTTTACCGTGTTTTGTGTTTCAGGGAGCCTGGTGGTTCAATGACTGCCACACGAGTAATCTGAACGGCGCGTACCACGGCGGCCCCTCACAGTCCGTCAACTGGTACAGCTTCTCAGGAGATAACGTTCCTCTGGCTAGAGCAGAGATGAGGCTCCGGCCCTCCGACTTCTAGACAACTAAAACATACTGAAAACCTGGAGAACTTTTCTTAATATTGTTGCGTCGTGTATGTAATATCATCATTGTATTGTACGTGTATGAATGGTTGGACCGATTTTCTTATAGATCTGTAAATGTAAATACGTAGTACATCTCCTGTGCTGTATAAACAGAACGTTCTGTTGCAAGAAAAAGCCATATCTTAAGCATACTATCGACCATCAGCGCAGCCATCTTTGATTATGTTTGTATGTTTGTTTTGTTTTGTTTCTCTTTACTTCCAATAAATTGAATTTGTTGCAGACTCTGATCTCGCTAGCGCTGTTGTTTTGCGTTGCTTTATAAATCTGACCAAGGAGGTTGAAATCTAGATTTTAAGCCTCCTTGATCTGACCAAGGACATTGGAACACATGTCCTTGGGTTTAGCTACGAAAACCGTGCAATCAGAATCAAAAGGAAGATAAGTTTTGTAGTATAGGAAATCAAGGTTCTGACTTAGAGTTTCCGTTTGGATAGGATTTTATTTTGCACAAGTAGAGAAATCCTGATACAATTTTGACATCATGATATAAGTCTTTCAACAACAACGCCGTGCTTTTTAATAATACCCGGCAATCACGTGAGTTGAGTTTCGCGCGTTTTTCCGGCGCATGCTCACTCCTTGAATCCACGGCCAAGATGGCGGCGCAGGGAGCAGACGTGAGCCGCTCCCTGAAAGAAGCTCTTCTGGAGAGTCTGACGGCCATCCTCTCCCCGCAACACGAGGTTAGAATCGCCGGCGAGGAGCAGATCAAGGTTCTCGAGGTCACCGAAGGTGCGTTCACGCCTACATGTCCTTATACGAGCTGCGAAACGCCGTTGAAAACGGGACACCCTTTCGGAAAATGAGGGAGGGGGGCCGTCTGGTCTAGACGTTTGGCGCGCGGTGCGAGTGTGTGTGCGGAAATGACATGACATCACGGAATTGATTTTGAGCGCTTCTATCGGGGTTGGTAAGAATTGCTGCCGGGTACGCAAGGCAGCGACGGGGGCTGCCTTCTTGACCCACCAGTACGGCATGTTGATAATTTGCTGAAATTGAAGAAACAGTAAGTGACATGACAAAGCCACCTGTACCTGCGGCTACAACTTATACTTATGAATTATTATTGCACTGCAAATGTTTGTGGTTGATGTTCCACGCTACTTAAATCGTTGGGGGCTGTCTTGTAGACTCACCAGTACGGTATGTTGATAATGTGCTGAAATTGAAGAAACAAAGCTACAGTAAGTGACATGACAAAGCCACCTGCAGGTACAACTTATGTCATGTCATAAAATTTATCATACTGCAAATGTTTGTGGTTGATGATCCACGCTACTTAAATCGTTGGGGGCTGTCTTCCCACCAGTACGGTATGTTGATAATGTGCCGAATTGAAGATACAAGGAACAGTAGAAGTGGTAGAGCCACCTGCAGATACAAGTTATGTCATGAAAATTATCATACTGCAAATGTTTGTGGTTGATGTTCCACGCTACTCAAATCGTTGGGGACTGTCTTCTAGACCCACCAGTACGGTATGTTGATAATGTGCAGAATTGAAGATACAAGGAACAGTAGAAGTGGTAGAGCCACCTGCAGATACAAGTTATGTCATGAAAATTATCATACTGCAAATGTTTGTGGTTGATGTTCCACGCTACTTAAATCGTTCTGTGGTTTACAGGAGTCGAGCTATTAAATTCTCGGATGTATTTGAAACTGTCATAATTTGCAGGTAGTGCATAGAGCTGTTGCCACTGTTGGTCAAACAAACAAAATGATACAAAAATGTAGCTTTCGCAATATCTTTTATTTGCCACATAATTTGCTGATGATCATCTTTGACTGAACTAAACAACCACATCCAATTCTGTAACAATACTAACATATCTTTGGAGGTTCTGCTTAGATATTGCTAATTTGATATGAATGAGGACCATATATTTGTTTTTTGTTACAGAATTTGGTGTGCACCTTGCGGAGTTTACAGTTGATCCACAAGGGGCACTAGCCATACGACAGGTGAGGCAAGGGAAGGGAAGAGCAACTCACATGTGAAGTCAACCACTGTCATCTTTTTATTATACACAGAGATGTTTTTTGTCAGTTTGGTTGTTTTCTGTTCAAATGTAATTTGGTTCTTTGTTGTTGTTGTCCATGTTTAACGTCTATTGCCTAATATATCACTGGTCTCTTGGTGCTCATTTTCGCATGGTTCAGTTCAGAGTCAAAATCTTAGGTTCTTTGCTATGTTTCACATTGTAGCAGCTTAGCAGGAGTCTGTTAGTGTTGCATGCACATGTAGTAATGAATGAAGTTATGCTGTCACAGCATAATTCACTGTTACACATGCATGCACTACAGTTGATAGACATGTACTCTTGTTTTTCAAATAGATGTTTGTGACTTTTTTCCCCAGCTGGCATCCGTGGTGCTAAAGCAGTATGTGGAGACTCACTGGTCAGCACAGTCGGAGAAGTTCCGCCCGCCTGAGACTACAGAGCAGGTAACGATAAACAGTAAACTTCCTTAAGATATGCCATATAGAGTGAAGAATGTGCAAGTCATGGGTCAGTCTCAGATGTACTGCAAAGTAACTGAATCTGAAGTCCAATTTTTCCTAAATGTAATGCTATACTTCTGAAAATACATTCTCATCCCGAACTGCTTACTCTTCTATTCGGTAGATTAGCCTTATGGAACTGTGCTTATGTACCAGAAGTTGCCATACTTTTTGTTCAATAAAGTTTATTATTAACCACTGTAACTGTAAGCAAAGTGCTCACGTGTATACTGCCATGTACACTCACAGTGTACTTCTGTTTAACATGCAAAGATGCTGCTGGTAATCCAGTTACTTGCCGAAATTGTTGCCGGAGGACTTTTAATATTACAGTCAAATGAAAAGCCTTTGTACCCAATGTCTTTCCCCATGTTTTAACAGTGTTATTGTTCCTATTCACTCCAGGCCAAGCACCACATCAGGCAGCTGCTGCCCATCGGTCTTAAGGAGTCCATCAGTAAGGTGCGGTCCAGCGTTGCCTACGCCATCTCGGCCATCGCACACTGGGACTGGCCTGAGGCCTGGCCCGACCTGTTCGGTCAGCTGATGCAGGCCCTGACCAGCGGCGACTTCAACGCTGTCCACGGTGCCATGAGAGTTCTAACAGGTAGGGAGGGAAACATGCACATACTTTACTCACAGGTTTTTTGAGTTGACTAAGGACACAATTTCCCTTTGTAAAGAGAACTAAAGACCACTTAAGTGTAGCGTTTTCCCCTATTCGACTTGAGGGGCTCAGTAGGATGGCCAAGTCATATTGGAGTCGATTTGGAGTCAACTTGGAAGCAAGGCAACATTTTCAAGTCAGCTTGCTGAGTATTACACCACAGGGGTCCAAATTACCTTATGACCCCATGGGGTCATGTGTGTAAAGAAAAGGCTCCAGAGTCGAAAAAACAGGTGCAACAGCATAATTGGTCTATTTATTGTACCTTTATCATATATTTTTGTCAGTTAAGATTCTTTGCTTTCTGTTCCCCCAGAGTTCACCCGTGAGGTGACAGATGCACAGATGCCTCAGGTGGCGCCTGTCATCTTACCTGAGATGTACAAGATCTTCACACAAGCAGAGGTTTGTTTTCTTATTGTTTCTGTAGTATATTATGGTGAGCAACACCCACTGAAGGATTGACAATGCCATTGACTGAAATAGGCTATAAAGCTCAATATATTGCACCAAATCAGTCTCTCACAGCTGCCAAGTCTTTCAAGTTACAGTCATTATGTTATATGAAGGTGGCAATACCCATATTATATCCAACGACACTGTTTAGGAGCCTGTTTTTATATGAATGTTCTTTGTAAATACTTTGTTACACTTATAATCTTAGTACTCCAATACAGGGCTCAAAAGGCCACCTGCATAAGCAGGTCAGTACAGGTAAAATTGGAGCTATGCAGGTGTGCAGAAGAAGCCTTTCAACCCCTGGAATATTGAGTGGTCATTTTGTATGATTTTGTTCACAGGTGTACAGTATCCGTACCCGAGGGCGTGCAGTGGAGATCTTCACTACCTGTGCCAACCTTATCTACACCATCAACGAGATCAACAAGGTCTGGGATTTTTTATTTTATTTTGGGTTTTTATTGAAATTGTAACAAGACAATACATGTGGGACACAGGCAGCTGTTGCTGGTGTTGTGTCCCACACATAGGAACAAATATAGGACAGACAATACTTATTTTCACAAGAGGAAAGTTATGTAAAGTGCCTCTTCCAAGAGCACAAGATTGGTGGCATGTCAGTACTCCAACCTGGGACCTCTTGATTTTACTCATAGCTTGTCATTGAATGTTATGGGTTGTCCTTTCAATAGTGTTTAAAGGAACATATGGAGTCATGATGTAAGAAAAAATGATATAATGAAAACTGGTCAAGGACACAGTAAATTTCTGATGCAAACATAATTTGTATTTCAATAGAAGAAGAAACAAAGAAGAAACAATGTGAATTTGCTATATGTTTAAAGTTAAAACTTTTGGTCCAACACAAAAATTCTCTCGCCTAGAGCTTTCGACCAGTCACTCTGGTCTTCCTCAGTCGACTGACCCAGTGAAGCTTGTCACGTGGCTTCTTTGAAGTGTGACGTCAACACTGGGTCAAAGGTATCTGGTAGACGATGTCAGCCCCCGTTGCTATAGCTAACACAAGATCACAATGTTTGTTCTATGTTAATGTAGGGGGCGGCCAAGACGCTGCTGTTTCCAGTGCTAAACCAGTTTGTTGAAGCTTTGGGTCAGGCACTGAGTGTACCGGACGGCCCCACTTCTGACAGTGGGCTGAGAATGGAAGTACTCAAGGTAAGGAAAACACTTGATTCATCAAGTTACAAGTCCACAGGAGGTACATGTACCATGAAAAATTACATTTGATTTGATTTGATTTATTGGAATTGCAACAGTGCAATATACGCGGAACAGAGGCAGCTGTTGCTGGTGTTGTGCCCCGCACATAGAAACAAATACAGGACAGACAATACTCATTTTCACTTGAGTCTAGTGGGGAAAGTCATGTAAAGTGTCTTTCCCAAGGGCACAAGATTGGTGGCATGTCAGGACTCAAACCCTGGACCTCTTGATTTCGAGTTGCGCATGCTGCCATTATTATGTACATATGCCATATACATACATGTACATTATTATAGTTATACAATGTATGACTTATTAAAATGCGCTATGGAAACAGACAAGTAATAAAGGAGATAAAGTTTTAGCTGTATTTAATTTGTGCCTGGCAATAGCTGCAATTTTCCAAAAATGATGTTGTAAAATTGGTACATTTGGGCTGCAGGTATGATAATATCACCTGGACTCTTTTATTCAGCCGACGTTTCGGTGACCGTCTGTCACCTTCCTGAGGTCAATTCTGACTGGTTCACATTGCTGAATAAAAGACTTGGTTGTGTAGAAAGGGTCTCTTTACTCAGTGTCTTACCAACCTGATGAAACTATTCACGAATATTACCTAGAGTTTACACATACTTACATGTGTGTGTTTGATGTCCCCTACAGGCACTGACTGCACTAGTGAAGAACTTCCCCAAGCAGATGCTGGGTTGGATGGCACAGATCCTGCCAGCTGTGTGGACCATCTTCACTCAGAGTGCTTCTTTATATCCTTCTGTATGCTGATACACAATGCAGCAGTCTGATTTCTTAAGTCAACAAGATACTAGTACATTTGTATGTGGTGAAAATGGATGTGAAATCGTGAATGTATGGGCACCTCCACACTTACCTTTCTATGGAGTCAGAAGTCGGTGCTATTTCAATAGTATTTGCAGTCTTTTTGAGGCTGTATGTTGTTATCCAACACAAGCTGTTGAAGTCTTCTGTTTTAGGAGCTGTGGTTAGATGGCTAATGGTTTTACGAGTTTTTAGTAGGTAATTCATCTTTTAATCTTTAAGAGATGCCAATTTGTTTTATATAGAAATTAAGAATTTACTTTTAAAACTGTAAATACCCACAGTTTGTGTATTATAATATAAAACGAGCTCAATGGTGTGTAAATACTAACGCAATTCAGACTTTTGTCTGCTATGTTGTATTGAAAATAAATTTTCAAAGTGATGGTTGGAAGTTTCTCCAGTCTACTGATACTAATAACTGGATGAAAGTTTACTGGCAACTTTGTGCCTGAAGGCTAGTTAGGACATGGAAAGCAAACATGTGGTTAACATACATGGGTATCATACAGTAACAAGAACAGAGATTGTAACAATAGACTACCTCAAGTACTAGTTCTGGCTATATGTAGACAACAAAGAAATCACCTGAAGGATTGAATAATTTCTTAACCGTTCGTACCTATGTGAGCACCGAGGTGAACAATGCAGAGGATGCAGATGATCCTGTAGACTCAGATGGTGAGTACTGATGTCTCATCCATGAAGATCTTTCCAACTGTTCATGATGATGATGATGATGATGATGCACTGTGTTCTGTAGCTCAGTGCAGTTGCTGATGTATACTATCCTGTTATATTTTGACCTCTTCCCTCATGACTTCAATGAAAAGTGGCCAGCATGGCGATTTGAGCATTTCATGAATTAACAAAATGTACAAAAGCTCAAACAATGGTTATGATGGGGTCGTGTGGCGTAAAGATGGAGTGCTCGACTCGGAACCAAGAGGTCCCTGGTTCGAGTCCTGACATGCCACCGATCTTGTGCACTTGGGAAAGGCACTTAACACGACTTTCCTCACTTCACTCAAGTGAAAATGAGTAATGTCCTGTCCTGTATTTGTCTCTATGTGTGGGACACAACACCAGCAACAGCTGCCTGTGTCCCATGTGTATTGTCTTGTTACAGTTTCAATAAATCAAATCAAACAAACAAATAAATAAACATGTTACCTCTCTCTGATCTCCCCAGGTGAAGTACTGGGTTTTGAGAACCTGATCTTCAGCATCTTTGACTTCATCCACGGCTTGATCGAGACTCCCAAGTTCCGTAGCACGGTGAAGAAGAGCATGAGAGAGCTCATCTACTACATCATACCTTACATGCAAATTACCGAGGAACAGGTGGGGATCTGAGTTGTTATGTTTACCGAAGTTTGTTGATGTCTGTCACCATGGTGACGGGTGTTGGGTTACATAATGTTGCAATTTGATGGTCTGCTCTACTCCTGTCACCATATACTAGTAGTACATGTATGTGAATGTGTTTGAGTAAAAATTAACAAAGCAGACCATATCCGAAGGTAAACATTATGCATTTGCTTTGCAAATGTTACTTGTCTAGTTTTCTTTTCTGTCATTGTAGCATAGCTGTAATAAGCTTCTTGTCTGTTGGCATTCTTTGCTTATCTTTGTGAATCTTTATTTAAACTGAAAAAAGCTTTATGGGTGGTAATCACACTGTATGTGATGTATGATATTCATAAAGACAAAATGTGTTCAAATTGGTAAAATAAAAGGGGAAATGACCAAGAAAGAGAAATTAGTTCAAACACGTGACCTGAAAATGAACAATTCCTTAGTTGTACCCATTACACTATAGACATTGTATGACATTGTATTGTGCAGTATTTCATGTTTAATGTATAGTATTCTAGGAATTTGTATTTCATGTTGATAATGTTCAATATTGTAATTTCTTTTGTATTCAATATTGTAATCTGTTTCTATATTGTAGTGTTTGGGAGGGCAACTTGTAAAGGTGTCAATGCACCTGTTTTGTCCTACCTTCCACTTGTATATTTGTACTGGTGAATTCAAATAAACAAATATAGCATGTTAGACAGGACAGAAGGTTATCACACATTGACAAGGAAAGTTCCCCCTGCAGATCAAAGTGTGGACAGAGAACCCAGACCAGTTTGTTGAAGATGAGGATGACGACACTTTCTCCTACTCTGTCAGAATCTCTGCACAGGATCTGCTGCTGGTAAGGCTACTCTAAAGGCTACATTAGTGGCAAATCTGTTTGCTGTCTGTTATTGGTAAATTGGCTTATATTTTGTCTTCAACTTAGCCTTTTCTAGATCAGTCAGACAGTTGAGTGGTATCCATATTTTCATTAACTTACTGAAAATTTTAGCAATTAAAAAAACTGTCAAATTTTCTGACATGACTTACATATACTCAATACATAGACCAGTGGAGGCAAGGTGTAGGCATTGTTGCAGGCGCACTGTTTCTGTCTGTATTGTATCTCTATAGCCGGTATAACCACCCTTCAGTAACACACCAGCTTCGCTGGTACACGGTGCAACGGCAGCTGGCTATATCGCACCGAACGACTTGTTACACCTAACCCTCGAACATCTAACTCTAACTCTAAACATTGTTTAAAGCTATCTACTGTACGTTTCAGGCTGTGTCCTCGGAGTTCCAGACAGAAAGTGCCGCCGGGATCGCCGCGGCTGTCACACAGCACCTGCAGGAGGCTGAACAGGCGAAGAACGCGGGCAGCCCGCACTGGTGGAAGCTCCACGAGTCGTGCATGCTGGCCCTGGGGTCCATCAAGAGTCTCATCATCGACATGTGCAGCAGTGGAAAGATTCAGTTTGACCTGAACGCCTTCCTGACATCTGTGGTGTTGGCTGATCTCAACATGCCAGGTACATCCTTGAATATTTTCATCAGGTTGGTAAGACACTGAGTAAAGAGACTATAGCAACGACACCAGTGGTGCAGTGCAATGTAAACCAGTCAGAATTGCCCTGAGGAAGGTGACAGACAGTCACCGAAATGTCGGCTGAATAAAACACTTGGTTGTGTAAAAAGAGTCTCTTTACTCAATGCCAGGTACATGTACACTTGTTTCTACACTGTAATATGCATCACATAAGGTTGTTTATATTGTTCATACAATATAAACAACCTTGGTGAAGTTCCTTGCTCTTCTGCTGGGTGCCTTTCACAATGTCGGCAGCTTGGGTTAAGGAAATTTGCATGGACGATTTTTGACAATTTAAAGATTGACAACTGTTAAACATTTTGTTCAGTTTTGAAATAGTTATTATTAACTACATTGTATTACTAATATCTGTATCTGTATAGCCGGTATACTAGTAACTGCCCTTTGGCGTAACACCAGCTTCGCAGGCACGTGGGGTGGCGGCAGCTGGCTACATTACACCGAACGACTTGTTACACTTAACCCTTGAACATCTAACTCTAGACATTGTTTAAAGCTATCTAATGACAATGTCCCTACTGTACTAGGTGACAGCGAGTTCCACTCTGTGATAGTTCTAGGAAAGAATGAATTCTTGAACACCTCACCATAGTAATGTGAGATTTATGACCGTTTTTCCCTTTTCTCTGTAGTTTCTCCATTCCTGCTGGGAAGAGCTCTGTGGGCTGCCAGCAGGTTCACCTTAGCAATGTCTCCTGAACTTGTACAGAGGTTTTTAGAAGCGACAGTGAACGGACTGCAGCCGAACCAGTCACCCTCAGTCAGAATATCAGCCGTACGGGCAATCTTTGGGTGAGATATCCTTTGAAGTAATGTAAACTGCTTTTGTGGTGGCTTTATTTCGCAGTTTTAAATTCCCAGTAAAACAATTCTGTAGTATGGTAGTCATATTAGAGAGGCATGTGCATATCATGAATTTATGGTGGACAGGTCACAGTAAAAACCCAGAAACAAAACCACTGAAAGTTTCACAATTAAGTTTCACTGTAACCTTGCATTATTCTACTGCTCTTCTGAACCTTTTCTACTGTTACATGTATGCTTGACATGTTGGTGTTTTTTCGTTATCTGAAAGATTTTTCACACAGTCACACAAGTTTGATCCGGTATATTGCACCCGGTATATTCCTTGGAGTGATGTTTCTGAGTGTCAACAACTTAACACTAGAGATCTGTATACCATTGTTGTCTCATCCTCATATTTTCTACCGTTGTTGTTTAGGTATTGTGACCACTTGAAGCAGTCAGGAAACACCCAGCTGCTAGTGCCGTACCTCCCACATGTCACAGAAGGGCTCATCAGTATAGCAACACAGTATGCATCAGAGGTAACTCCCCTCTCTGTTTATCACTTGTCTACATTGAAACCTGTCTGTAATGAGTAGACCCTAGTGTTTCCTGTTTTCGGTCCGACCGTAGAAAAACCTGCCGACCCTTGACTTTTTGGGGGGTTGGACCCCTGCAAGGGACATATTTTGCAATGCCAAAGGAGCATCCAAATTATGGATTGCATCACCTAATGTTGGGACACCGCGTGGCTGGCCGGTGAAGTTGCTGAGACTCTAACCCACAAGGGTATTGATATTTGCTGTGCCCAAGAACCACAGGACAGAGGCAAATGGCAAGCCACCATCAAGCCCCAGCATCAGTGTGCAAGCACGTCTAACCCTCAGAATACAGGGAACAACAGACATTAAACCAAAGAAAGAGAGAGAGAGTCTATGTTATTTTCCTGCTGTGTTATGCCAGCTTAAACATTTGTTACAATGAAACTAAGAATTTGTTTTGTCTCTTCACCCCAGGTTCTGGCCCTGGTGTTAGAAACCCTCAGGATAGTGTTAACCATCGACCATAGTTTTACTGCCTCGTACGAGTCCAAAATCATCCCCCTGTCCATAGCTGTGTTCCTCAAGTATAACCACGGTAAGTCTGTTCTCATTTCTTGCTTTGTCAAAACGAAGTTCACTTTATTATTATGTTTACCGAAGGAAAATGCATTGTTTTTGCTACGTTTCCTCATCTTCTTCTCCAGTGACCTCTGACCTGATTTAACCAGACTCTCACCATGGTAACTGGTGTTGGGTAACATAATGTTGCAATTTTATAGCAGGAGGGATTTAGACTCCTGTCACCATATATGTGAATGTGTTTGAGTAAGATACTAAGAACTAACAGAGCAGACCATATGCAAAGGTAAACATTATGCATTTGCTTTGCAAATGATACTTTTCTAGTTTTCTATTTGAAAATATGAAACCTTTTGAACCAGGAAGACATTTTTTCAAGTTTATAGCTACATCTTCAACATTATTGGCAAAGTCTACAAAGTTTACAATTATGTCATGCCATGTTCTTTACAGACCCTCTTATAGCATCTCTGACAGAAGACATCTTCAAAGAATTAGCAAGTATTCCAACATGTCAGCAGGTTAGTTCCTGAAAGGCTCAATCTTTTTGTGTACAGTTCACGTTCTTTTCCATTCCTGTATGTTTCCATTTTAAAATTTTCCTGACCAAATCTAGCCTCTACCAGGCTTTGGGTGGCGGCTGGAAAGAGTAGAAATTGGCCAAATAGACAGATAACATACTGTACTCGCTAGTAGACCAACTCCCCTGGCATGATATCTCTCTATTTCTACTCTTTCCAGCTGCTTCCCGAAGCCTGGTAGAGGCTAGACCAAATCCACCTGTGGACTTCTCAAATGGAATTGTCCTAAATTGTTTGTTTGTTTGTTTGTTTTTCCAGCCCCTTCAGCAGAGGTTACTCCCTACCCTCATCAGTATCATGCAGGCCCCAGCAGACAAAGTGCCACACGGGCTCTGTTCTGTAAGTACCAGAATTAGCCGACCTACCAACTAGTTATCCCAAAGTTCATTGTTACCAGGAACCTGGAACTAGAAGACTGTTCCTTTTCCTAACAAGTTTTAGTCAAAGCTTGCTCATATCAAAGAGTTAAGATGCATTTGTCGTTAGACAGTGTGGGATGGTTTAAAAGTGCTTGGGTGCACCAGTGCACCTATTCTCAAAAATGAATTTCGAGCCATGAAGTTTAAAGTCCTTCCCACACCAGGTGGTGTAGAGGGCAGTGCCCATCTCTGGCTCAGTAGCCCTTGGGCCACACAAATGTTCAATCACTACAGCAGCTGCTGGTAGTGGTGTGTGTTTAACTCCCATATTCTTTCACAAATGTTGAGTACTAAGCAGAGAAAGCAGTATGTACCTTTTTTAAAGTCTTCGGTATGAGTCGGCCGGGGATCAAACTCACGACCTACTGAATGCAAGGCGGGCACTCTACCCACTTGGCCATTGCAGCAGTCTAAGTCTGGTAATAATGTCTGGAAAAACCCAGAGGTTTGTACAGTTCCTCTGTCTTGTTGTGTAGATCTCCATGGACATCCTGTGTGGAGTGGTTCGGAGCAGTGCCACGCCCCTGTCTGATGTCCTCATCTCCCAGGCCTTCCCAGCGTGTGCACAGGCAACACTTAGAACAGACGACAACTCAGCACTACAGGTAAGGCCATAGTTCTTCTGTTAGCAAATTCTAATCTGAAATACTATACAAAGCCTTACTCTTAATCTTAAGAGTCTTTGTACAGTGTTTTTTTCTGTAAGAAGTCATGAATTAAATTTATCTGTTTTAAAAACTCTTTACCTATTATTTAAACCCAAGATGCCATCTTATTTCACAATCATGTGAGGAGAGAAACATTCCTATCAATGATTTGTTAGATATTGAAATGACATAAGGTATTAACATGAATGAATATACATGTATAATTCAAGGTAACCGCACAAAGAAGTTTGCTGGTATATCTATGGTTCCCTTTTCCTTAACCTACAGTTACACTTACTCAGTCCTGCACAGATGGACTGTCAATCTAGGTTTCTCATTTTTCTTTATGTACAAAAACAATATCTTGTGTTTCAGAGCGGAGGCGAGTGTATACGGGCGTATGTCTCTGTCGCCTGCGAACAGATAATCGTGTGGCACGACGACGCTGGCAACAACGGCATACACTACGTCATCCAGGTCACTTACCCTATGTTCCTTACTACTATGACGAGGGTCCACATCACTCTCACACCTACAAAACTGTAATGTTTTTGATGTAGTTCAAAACTTACTATACTGTACAGGTTGATTCTCGTAATTGATAGATCACCAACTTGTCTTGTTTGTATTTACCTTGGTTTTATCCACCTTGTAATTATGCATGTATTTTGTCAATGTGTTTTACACTCGTTTTATGTTTTTGAGTTTAAGGTGTTATATGAGGGCCTGCAAGGGGGGGTCCCGACAACGCTCTACACTGAATTCGGAAACCTCTCGATTACGCTTTGCGATAAATTCCAAGTGGCTACAACGCATTACGTAGAATTAAAACGCCGAATACGCTCTACGCAAAAATATTAGAGTGGTCCGTCTACGCTCTACGTAGAATTAAAACGGCAGATTACGCTCTACGGTAAAGGGCTTGCGGGCCCCCTTATATACGCAACCTGTGCTTTTTGCCCAATACTCAATAAATTAAATATTATGTGAATACATCCATCCAGGTGGCCCTGCATCTGCTGGACCCACGCACGTCCGAGTTCTGCGCCTCGTTCGTGGGGAAGCTGCTGACGGCGCTGTTTAAGAAGGCCGGGGAGGGGCTGGGGGACAGTCTGGACATGCTGCTGAGAGCCGTGCTCAGTAAACTGCAGCAGGCTGAGACGCTCAGTGTCATTCAGGTACAGCAGTTTACAGCATTGTTGACTTTAAAACCTCTGATGAGTCAGAATGTAGTACAAGTTGTTCCTAGCTTAGAAGTGGCTACATTGGCCAGGTGGTCCTTATGTAGAATGAACTGGTAGCACTTCAAAGTGTTGACTACATTTATCTCTGCAGTTCAATGTAGTGATGCTAAAGAAAAGTACTGGATGTCACTAGCTGGTGTGTTATGCCGAAGGGTGGTTATACTAGCTATACAGATACAGATACTAGAGTCTAGAGTTTGAACGGTATCAATTACCTGGATGTCTAACCTTCATCAATGTAACTCTATGCTATGTTCAACTCTGTGTGTAACGGCAGTCCTTAGTAATGGTGTTTGTCCACACTCGTATGGAGGATCTGTCAGTTTTTGTACAGATTTAACTGTAACTGAAGCTTGTTTAGAGTTAAAACTTTTGGTCCAACACAAAAAATTCTCTCATCTAGAGCTTTCGACCAGTCACTCTGGTCTTCTTCAGTAGACTGACCCAGTAGGCTTGATGTGATCAACACTAACTGAAGCTATGCTTGTCCCTGTGTGTAACTGCAGTCCCTAGTGATGGTGTTTGCCCACCTGATGCACACCCGTATGGAGGAGCTGTTGGAGTTCCTGTGCAGTGTTCCCGGCCCCACAGGCAAACCTGCGCTGGAGTTCGTCATGGCAGAGTGGTGTGAGAAACAGCACCTGTTCTACGGAGCGTACGAAGGGAAAGTAAGGTGAGTCCAGTTAGTGGTCACGTTGTTCAGGAGGTGGGAGAATGAGATAATTTTTTTCTAGCTGCTAAAAATTAGACAGAGCTCAAAATTCATTTTTGGGAACACAATGTAACACTACATGTATGACTGGTTTATTATGACATCAACTTTATCACAACAGTTGCGAAGGCGGAATTGATGAAGTGATATTACAGAAATTGACTCCAAAACATTAAAAACACATTTTCTACACAAGCTAAAATCAAGAGCAAAAGTTTTCCAGTCAGCATAATCATTCGAAAAGGTGGTAGGTCAATACCCCTCAATAATTTCAATGCCCCTCAGTAATGTACTTATAAACACCAGATAGATATATATACCAGTAGTTTAGATATTTTTTACATTCTGCGTGTTACCTTGGAATTAGCTTTGGGCATGAGTTTGCAGATAAAACTGTTGTTGTTGTCATGACAATATACTTGCCCTTTAGCATACTGAGATTGGCATATCACTGTCCTCTCTGTTGTTCCCAGTTCTGTAGCCTTGTCCAAACTGCTGAGTCACGGGATCAGCACCAACGATAAGAGGTTACAAGACGTGACGGTCAAGGGCGACCAGATTTTCAACCACGAGGGAATCAGGACCAGATCCAAGGCAGCGTCCCGTAAGTTTCAAATTCAATTTATGTATGTCGCTGGGATATTCTTGTCACCTACAGGCAGTTTTCAGGGAATGCTGAGGGGAGAACCCTGAGCTTGAATAACATGGCATTTAGACAATTGATCACAATGAGAACAGAGGTCACTTGAAATAGATAGAGCTTCATAAGTAATTAGAAATTGTAAGTTGCAAGTGATTCAAGTATGTCCAGGGCCCCACTGCAAAGCAGTGTTTGATCACTGAGCGGGCTTCCATGGTTGAAGAAACAAAGAAATAAATCAACTTATGACATTTATAACAGTAATGTATGTTTATCCTGACAAGTCAAAAGTTCTGACCCACAAGACCCATGAGGCCATCCTTGACAGTTAGAAGTTCCATATATTATGTTTAATTTTGTCTGGTTAGAGTTAAGACTTAAGATCCAACTCAGAAAGTTCTCTCACCTAGAGCTTTCCACCAGTCACTCTGGTCTTCCTCAGTAGACTGACCCAGTGAAGCTTGTCACATGGGTTCTTTGAAGTTTGATGTCTAAGTGAGAGAACTTTTTGTGCTGGATCTAAAGTTTTAGCTCTAAACATGTACCTACCAACACAGATGAACTTTCATGATTGTTTAATTTTGTCTGGCTGCCCAGAGCCGGAGCAGTGGACCATGGTTCCAGTCCTGGTGAAGCTGTACAAGCTGCTGATTAACGAGCTGTCCAGTCAGATTGAGAACAACATGTCCAGACAGGCTTCTGCTGGGGGGGAGGACCTGGATGAGGTTAGTGTAATCAGTTTGTGATGTATAATGAATGAATGAATCTTTTTCAAGTTTTTTTTTCAAAATGATCTTTTTCAAGTGAAATATACTGACAAAACATAAGAATGACTTCTCGATCTCGTGTCTGCTTGCCTAGCTACCAGGCCATTCGATGCCACACTGCCTTTAGTATGATGACTGTTGTGAACCCACTGTGAACCATTTGTCCACTATCACACAAAATTCCCCATATCTTAGAAGTAGAGCAGTCCGACCCAGTAACCTCACTCTGGTGTTAGGAGTCCTGGAGGCAACACAATAAAGTATGAAGCTCCTCAAAAGTCCAGTGTGCGACCAGTTCATTACAATCTAACTGCAAGAACTCTCAACAATGACTAGTGAAATATCTGCATGTTGTTCCAGGAGGAAGGTTGGGATGATGATGATGATGATGATGCGGGTGACGAGGAGGCCATGGGCCAGACGCTCTCCCAGCTGCTAGACGTCGGGGGAGCCGGAATTTACGGTAAGGCCACACCGACTAAATTTTATGGAGGACATCCTCTGAAGACCCCCAAACTAGTTCGCACGGGCGAATATAAATAACAATTCCGGCCAAAAATGAAAACTCTACTAAATCACAGGACTACAAAGCTAAGGTATTGTGAATTTGTGGCAGTATATAGCGACGTATACAACAAGCTGGCACATGCTGGCTTTTTGCGGAATTTATGAATCGGCACTGTACGTATGTACTGAGTTTTTTTAGTGGTTACAGCATTAATTCTGATGATGATTGATGCTGTTTCCATACCAACAGGTTATGATGACTTTGATGATGAAGAAGAGGATGACCCAGATGCTGCCAATGACCCCCTGAACTCAGTTGACCTTCAGGTCAGTCCTACTTTTGTACATTACACTGAACGAACGACTTGTTACACCTAACCCTTGAACATGTAACTCTAAACATTGTACAAAGCTATCCAATGACAATGCCCCAACTGTACTCAGTGACAGCGAGTTCCACTAAGCGATAGTTCTAGGAAAGAATGAGTTTTTGAACACCTCAATCCTTGGTTGATAACTCTGGTGCTTGAAGGAATGACTATTTCTTGTTCTTCTACTTAAGAATTGTTTCCCCCCTGTTCTTCCCCAGGCTTATTTGACGGAGTACCTTCAGCAGCTGGCACAGCAGCCCTGTCACTCTGCCTTCCTACAACACCTCACCGACTCGGAGAAACGCGTCCTGGCTTCCATCGGCATTCCAGTGTAGATAGTGCTGTGTTCAGGTTTAAGTAAAAAAAAAACTCACTTCCGGACTTATTTCAAGAAAAACATGTCACCGTTACACACCCCGCAGGCATCGAACTCAGCAGGGGACCCAAACTCACTGTCACAGCCCACTTGCTGGAAACAAAAAAGTCACTCCAAGAACTGCAAGAGTTTTAAACAAGAATAGATTTACTGCAGAGATGTTACTGTCCTTGGTGCTGAATTACAGTCCATTGGGGATAGTGCTGTGTACCAGTTCTCTGGAACCGGTTCCTGACTTGTAAAAATATTTCGGTTCAAGTCCAAAAAAACCTAAAAGTCAAGAACCGTTCCGGACTTATTACAAGAAAGAAACATGTCACATACACCTTTTTCTTTCCAAACCACCTAAAACCTTCCATAGATTGCAAAATCTGTGCTGGAAAATGAAGAAAGCATTGCCATCGGGCGTTGTCAAGTGTTGGCCTCCATGTCATGTGGCCAAAGTTTTGCCAATACAACATTGACAACATGCAATTGAAGGTTGACAACATGCAATTTTATAAACGCCATGGGTTTAGGTCTAGACTTACGAGTCTGGAACTGAACCTAAACATCTGAACTTGTTCCAGACCTGAACCTAAATGTGGGTTTAGGTACCCAGCACTAAGTGTAGTACGCCTGGGAGCAACCAGGGGGCACACGGGAAATATGTACCCCAGGCAGCCTACTCATCTAACATTATCATCGTGGAAAGACTTAACTTTTCTAATTCTACCAACACACATGAACTTCATAAAGGTAATGCTATAACCTTTATGAGGCCAAAGTGGCAGTTAGTAATGTTAATGTCAACTTTCAGCACAAGCATATGAAAGTGTTTAGTGCTTGTTTTTAGAGAAAGGGACTAACTTACTGGTAACAGATTTTAGCTATTTTCCAAACCCTTCTTCATATAGAATGACCCACTACTTTTGTCATGTGATCCAGTGTACACAAAACTCAATGAGTGAGTCACGGGTGCCAGAAAGTAGTGACAGTCATTTTATTGAAGACCGAAAACTGTGGTATGTCCATTTCTGTACCTTGTTGGAAGAAAAGTTTATTCTTTACATGATGTCTGTTGCCAACCCAGATACATCTAACCCAAGCATAGCCTGTAACATTGCCAGGGTTCAAAATACTACATCCTTTTTCTGCCCACCTGCCATAACTGGCCAGACAAATTACGTTTTCTTCTTGCCTTTAGCACCAGGAACCCTTACTCTTACCCTGGTGCAGGTAGACATCAGAAATACCTGCACAGCTCCAATTTTACCTGCGCAAACCTGCATATACCCAGTACATGGACCAGTGCAGGCTAGGTGCAGGTAATCATCAGAAATACCTGCACAGCTCCAATTTCACCTGCACTAGCCTGCATATACCCAGTACATGGAACAGTGCAGGTAGACATCAGAAATTCCTGCACAGCTCCAATTTTACCTGCACTAATGTGGTGGTATTTTGAGCCCTGGTATATGTATTTGTGTTGAGGTGCTCATCAAATGAGTGTTACAGTGATCAGCCACATAAACCTGAACAGACACTACAACTTATGTTTGAATTGTGTCCTAAGGAAGAAGATTATAAGCAACATTATAATTACATGATCAAGCCAGTCTAGCATACAGGGAGTTCTATTTGTAACAGATATTTAGCTGTGTGGAAATATGTTAGACATTCTAAAGATGTGACATTGTATTGTTTGTACTTTGCCTATTTTATCTGTATACTTTTCAAATCATTTTCCTCAAAGTTTAATTTTATTGCATATATCAAATATATGTATATAAATATAGATACACTACTAATTGATTATAATTGGAAAATTGTGGATCGTTTTGCACGGTGGGATTTGTTTCCATTCAATATAATGACTTGACTTGCATCAAACTATATTTACATCTACTCCAGTAAAGATGTGTATGACCCTGGCATACTGAAACAAGCTCTTCTTAGGTGTTGCCAAAAGACTTAAGCTCTGGTGGCAAGGGCTTAAAATGTTGGGGCTGTGTTAAATATAGGGCAATTCTCAACAATGTTGCTTGTTGTGTACCATAGACTTTGGCCAAACTCATAGACCAGTGCTCTGCTCTGTATTGGTACTGTGTTATCTAGTACTTGATCCAACTTTCTTGCAAAATATTCTGTTCACGCTAAGACGCTTAACAAAAGTAATCCTGTCAACAAAACTACCAAAGAATGTTCTACCTTCCAATATCTGAATTTATTTGTCTGATATACAGGATTCAATGTGTCGATGACTAAAAAAATGTGTGTTATAAGACTTGTTGCAGAGGACTTCTTGTATGCTGGTTATTCACCCATATTTGCAGAAAATTATGTGTGGTATCCATTTAAGGATAGGGCAAGTCAAACACAGTAATGTTTTTGATTTCATTGTGTAGTTTGGGTCTTTTGTCTTTCTCCCTGCTGATGGTTGCTGTAGTTACTACAACTTTGGTGTGAATTGACAGCCCATGGGGCATAAAAACCAAATCAGTTTCTTCAAAATTGGTGATTACTGATAATATGAATAATTTGTACCAAATGTCCAACATTATGCATTCACTATGAATTAATGTCATGAATTTCATAAATGGTATCAGAATTAGTATTTGCACTGGAAATCCAGCATTGTACATACATGTAATTTACTGTTTATTCGATGTTCCTTATGTTTGAAATGTCTTCTGTAGTTGTTAGATTGGACTAGACTGGTTTACTGTGAAGACTACTGAAAGTTGTACCAGTTTGACTTTATTTGGAAAGTCTCTGAGAGAGGCCTACAGTTATTCCTGTGCTGTGTAAGGAAACAAGGAATAATTTTGCATTTCTGGTGGTCACGTGACTTCTCAAATAGGCTTCTTGCTTTGTACTCATTTTCACAGTAGAACGGACAAAAAGGCAAACTTTTGCCGACAAGTTGGGGTGTAATGCTAAATATCTTTCTAAAGACTAAGAAATGATGGCTGTATTGTCTGAGTCTGACAGAAAATTATTACGAAAAGGGTAAGACATAGGTAGTTTTTCTCCTTTCTAAAAGGAACTGTTGCATTTTCTCCTTTGTATGTGATGTTACTAAAGTAAATGTTCTTCCAATCTGACTGCTGAAAAGAAGCATTGCTATAATTGCGGTGAAATGATAGTAATAATACTTGAAAGAAGCGGCAGCTCGGAAATTCCAGACGAATTGTGGGTCCCGAGGTGGAATTGTACATGTAAATGTTTAAAGTGTGCCTAAGACTGAACCGACCATTTGGAGGCCTTTCTGTGTGTGAGGTACCCTGTTATGTGATCTAGGTTGTCTAATGAATGTAATGAAAGATACTGAGAGAGAAAAAAAAAACTTTTGTGTGAGTAAATCTATTTCCAGTTACTTCTAAATGATTGTACACTTCCTACATGCAGGCTTTGGTTCAGTTTAGAAGCATATACAAATTAATTAATAAATGATACTTGAAGCAAGTGTTACATGTACATGTACTACTGGTTTGAAGCTACTGAAACAACGTGTCATTGCGAATACCTGACGTGTGTCGTGTCATGACATTTCTTGACAGAAAATGAGGACAGCTTGCTTGTCAATCCAAGTTACAATTGGTATTCGAATTGCATAGTACATGCGAAGATGTGAAACACATCCACTAAATGCGCCAAAAAGCAGTTACTCAAGCAACTGGATATGATTTTGAAAACGTCAGACGTTTCAGCTAGTATCCACTAGCTTTCGTCAGTGACTGAGAGACCAGAGGGGAAATGCAGGTTTATAAGTACAAACTATTGATTGATATGCAAATAAAGTGAAGACAAATTTTTGGAAGTCGAAAAAGGAGGCACAAAAGTCAGACAAGTCAAGACTGCTTTTTGGCGTATTGTATTACCTGGATGTCTAACCTTCATCGACGTATCCACTAAATGGTCAATTGTGAAAGGTGGAATTTCATCACTTATAAGCGGAGACGCATAGGCACCGGAAAACCTATGATATATTCTCTTTAGCATTGAGGGTATCCCGCAAACCATCTATATGCCATAATAGGAGTACTATAATTACTGGTTTATGTGTATGGTACTGATCAAAATTGATAGTTTAGCTCTGGCAAAGTGAAATGATGGAAAATTAAACAGATGACGCAAGAACTTTTGTCTTGCAATTCTTGTTTCATATTTCTATTCACATATTTATATATATGTGTGAAAATACTGAAGTTACTACAAAATATCATCAACAGTCTTGTCACTGGGAAAATTGTCTTTTTGTTCAAATTCGATCCAGTGATGTCCAGGCTACCACTCTAGCCCTTTCCCCTTGGCCGTGCGTCTCCCCTTCCCCGCTCTTTTTGCCTTCTTCCCTTGTCTTCTGGCCTTGGCTTTCTTAATCTGTCTGCCGCTGACCCAGACGGGGTAGGTGCCGTGTTCATCTCGAAGGTCCTTCATGGAAATATTTTTCTTCCCGGACGTCTTCCGGTCAACATCCATCTTGCCGGTTTCTGTAAGAAAATGATATGATTGGGTTTATATTGCAATGTACCTGAGGTGGAACAACTGCATGGATTCATTGTCATTTATAAAAAAAAAAGTAAAACATAAAATCCAGATTCCATCTTTCTTTGTTCAAGACAAATTTGACTTCTGTGGACTTAATCATTCATGTACATGCACCAATGATAGCAGGCTCATGGTAGTGTATTTTAAAAGTAGCTGCATTTTGCAATAGAATCTCAAACTGACTCAATTAAACAGATACAGTAGACATTATAAAACATGAAAGACTTTCCTGACATTGTGGAGTGCTTCTCCCTGCTTTTGGTCTGCTGTAAAAATAATCTTTTCTTCCCCATTAATATAGTTATTCCTGTGTGCCCCTAATATAACTATCACATTACCTTCACTAACAACCTCCATGCTGGTGTCCTCAGTACTTGCAGACCCTTGTGTAGTTTTATCGCTCCCCTCTGTTGCCCCGCTCTGACCTCCCGCCTCAGTGCTGCCGGCCTCCTTCATCTCCTGATCCCCCACACCCAGCAGCTGTTTCAGCTTCACCAGCTCTTTCTTGGCGTACTTCTCCCTCTTCAGGGCACGGAACATCCTCTTCCTTTTGCTGCGCATGCTCTTCGCCATTCTCCTAGGCCTTGTTGTTTAGTGCGTTCCTTTATAATGGTGTGGTTAGGCCTATTGTTGTGAGTTGTTGGTTTGCGATCTGTTGAAGGATAAGAGCTACAAGTTAGTGACAAGATTCTGAGGGACCTATGCTATGAGATAGGCACCAAGCACAGTTGGGGCATCATCACTAGAAAGCTTTAAACAACTCCTGCAATCAAATGTGCAAAGATTGAGTGTAACAAGTCGTTTGGTGTGATATAGCTAGCTGCCGCCGCGCCGCATGCATGCGAAGCTGGTGTGTTACGCCAAAGGGCGGTTATACCGGCTATACAGATACAGATACAGATACAGAGATATTAGCTTGAAAATTCTAGAGGATTAATTAAAGAAGCCATTTTAATATATATCAGGGCATTACAACCATCTATCAACACAGACAGCTCGCCACGTCATCATGGAATAATGATGAAAGTTTATTGCAAATACATGCCCGAGGGCTAATTGCAGTTACAAACAACATAAGAAAGAAAATACAGTGGTATGTGAGACTGTACCTACATCCTTTATACTATATTCTACAACATACATGGTACTAGCTATAGTTTTACTGGGTTTGACTTCTTTTTAGGCAATGGAAAAAAAATTTACCCACTTCGTTCGCTCATGTGTTCTGTCAGAGATATCTCAGTGCTTATCCGCCACGGAATCACTTCTGCATGAAACGTAGTCTAACTTGTTTGTCCACTACAGTCAGATTATTGTGAGTCAAACCAAGCTATAATTTCAAATGTCAAGTGTCATCTCTGACATAATGACATGGGAGTGGCTATGAGTAAATGTTTATAATATATATATGGACCGTGTCTTCACTATTGCAATGATACGTGATCACATATTTAACGTTAGGTCGACTTTTGAATCTCCTGGATCAAGTCAAGATGGTTGTATAAGCTTCTTGCTTAATCATTTTATGTAAACTACACGGTTTTACTACACTACACTGGGCACTGGGTGCCCCCCTCCCCGACAACACACCGAAGTCCAGAATCATCATTTTTTTTCCCGCTAGAGCATTTCTTTCAGTAGCACTACAAGTTTTTTAGCCTCTACCAGGCTTCGGGGGGCGGCTGGAAGAGTAGAAACCGGCCGAAATCATAGAGAGGATATGCCAGGGGAGATGGTCCGCTAGAGTATAGTTTCTCTAGCGGACCAACTCTCCGATCCCCTGGTATGTTATCTCTCTATATATTTTGGCCGATTTCTACTGTTTCCAGCCGCCTCCGGAAGCCTGGTAGAGGCTACAGGTTTTTCACAAACTGGAGCAATAACCGATACATATTTCTAGTCTGTTAAGGTCATGAGTTCGACATAAAAGGTTTTCCTCACCCTGGACTTGTGAACAGTTCCCAACAGCTGCGCACGTGTGACTACGTCCTGTCAGGTCATGGGTCAGCAGAATGTGCCACTATGTCAAGAAAGGGATAGACACTTAATAAAGTACTTTTAAAACCCAGATGAAAGGACACAACTTATGGATAAATAGATATATTTTTATGGTTAAAGTGTTGTTACTATTTTATTATTGGTCATAGTATTTCTATTTCGGTGTTTTGTGATATTCTAGGGACTTGAGCTAAAACTGCCTTACCCCTTTCTACATGTACCAATCCAACCAACATGTCGCTGTCCATGCATCTCTGAAGGCGTCACTGGTGCTATTTTTCCACGAATTTTGCCCCTTTAGCCCAAAAAATCTCACCCCAGCAGCGATGTTACCGCGGCGACTTCTTCGGGAGGTGGACGTGATGTTTCTAGCCCGGATTCACCGCTCGCTGTCCTCTAAATTCGGACAAACCCATCATAATTTTCCACTACCCTCTAGGACGACCAGACCAAGACCCAAGTGCTTGACATCTGAAGTTCACGTGTCTAGTACTAGAAGGACGAAAACTACCACAGTTCGCCACAGTTTCTCCAACCCGGTCGCGAACGTAGCCACAGCTAGCAGCGCCGTGTGCAAGCGACAGCTTTCCGCCGACAGCGACGACGATAACATGCCCTGGTTTTTGGATCCGGAGAAACCTTTAGAAATGGACCGTGCTGAACTTGACGTTCAAAATATCGAACAAGAGAAATCAGAGGACACAATACAGGACCATGCGGACGTTACGAAAATCAACCCAGTCTCAGAAAAGAAGAACATCTTGAGTGGTCGGACACTACCGAGGATTGACAAACTTACAAAGAAGCAACTCTTGGCAAGGATTCAGAAGAAAGACATTGTATACGATGATGGTAAATTATATTGATATCTCCAAGGATATTAAACCTCCTTGATATCACGGATACTTGAAAAAAGATGTTTTACATATTTCTACCTAGGACATAACTCCTTATGCCAATCTTTCCTTGCATATTTACTGAAATATTAAGATATGTCAGTATTATTAATATGAATGTTTGTTAGAAATATTAATTATTAGCATATTTTCAGGTCAAATTGTAGCAATCAACAAGCTAGCCGGGTTACCTGTACAAGGTAAGTGTGGCAATGGTCAATTTAATATGCCTCTGTAATGTCTGTATATAGTGTAGATGATGCTTTGCCTCTACAATTGTCTTCAATTCATTTCTTTATTATTATACCAACATTGCAGGCATACAGTATATATAGAATTATAGTGTTGCCTGAATGACATTGGTATTTACAATCAATACATTAAAAAGGTTGTACATTTTATGTCACACTTCAGCCTGAGTATAATGCACATTTTGACATTTTGTATAAATTACATATATAACGTGTTAATGGGTGTTACCAAGACAGATGCAATTTTTTATTACAGCAGACTGTGGGATAAATGGAAGTTATATTTTCCCTTACCTTGTCACTGTGTCACTTCAGGGCAAACTCCAGATCAGCTGAGTCTGAACAGTCTCCTCCCTGAACTGAGCACTGCTCTGGAGGCACCAGACCTGTCCATTGTCAAACCCTTAGACTGGTGAGATACACGGGCTTGTTTTTATTAACTTTTTGGATATAGAAGTAGTAACCAGATAGCCAGACTGGCAGAAGATCGTCGGCTGTGGAAAAACTTTGCCAAACGCTATGCTGCCCCAACATCTGACTATTGGGAGAGAGTGAGTGATTGAGTATGTGTGAGTGAGTGAGTGAGTGAGTGAGTGAGTGTGTGTGTGTGTGAGTGAGTGAGTGAGTGAGTGAGTGTGTGTGTGTGTGTGCTAGTGAGTGAGTGAGAGAGTGAGTGAGTGATCATGAGTGAGTGAGTGAGTGAGTGAGTGAGTGAGTGAGAGTGTACCGAGTACACTTTTTTGGGTGGCTTGTTTTGAGTTTGAGTGAGTGGGTGCAGGTTGATAGTACTTGGGTTGAGGAAAGACTGACAGACAGAATGACAGGAGGTTGAAAGGTTAGACCCAGGAAAAGCCAGGGATCAGGAGTTGTCCTCATGAGGGAATTTGGGAAACTGTCTGAGGATTGCATGAAGGACTGTCCAAAACTTTCTTGTTCAGTTGGTCTCTTCTGGGCTTCTAGAAACTAATGGCAATTAACTTGTGATTAGAAACGAGGAAGCTGTCCAGTGCAGTAAGTTGTTACTAGTACTTGTTAGTTGATCTTGCTATGCTGATGTGACTGTCAAATGGACCATGAAGTTTTCTTAACATTGTTTTGTAACACTTTCTTACTGAGGGACGACTGCGTGTGCAAGATGTCGGTTAGCTGAGGAATGAATCCCCTAGAATTCACATTGTTTTGTAACACTACCAGGCACTTATCTGGGATTGTACTGCTGGCCAGGACACCTGAAGCAAGGGCAAAGGTCATCAACGTTACAAAAGCTGCCACACAACGCAACAAGTTCTATAGGAAATACTGGTAGGGGGTTAAAAATTTTAACATAGCCATGCTAGTTTATGATTACTGTTGTTGATATGACAACTCATTTTTTCCTATCGGTCATAAGCTGCAACTCAACTGTGATAGCCTCCGTAGCAGGCTTATAGAACTGGGGGTTTGGTGGTCTTCGGCTGTTTTCTGATTAGCCCAGTTCATCAGGCCGGCTATGTTGTCCATATTCAATCAGAAAATAGCACATAAAAGCTCCCAAAGACCATGAAGACCCCCAAACCCCCAGTTTTTGGCATGCTATGGAGGCTACAACTGTGAGGGGTAATTGACTTTGCCATAGACAAGGCCACAAAATGTAGAATTCAACACTCTTTTCAGTTTTTAAAATGTTGATGACACATATCAGGCATCGATATAATGTTTGTAATAACAGCTGTTTGTATTTCTTACTTTACAGGGGTGTAGTTATTGGGACACTTGACTCACCTGAAGGTAATGTTATGTTTTCATGATTTGTTCATGTCTACTTTTCACATGTATTGTTTGTGTCTCGTGTATTGTTTTTTTTTTTTTTTTCATTTGTTTCCTGTGTTATAAGCTATAGACTACTAGTATATGTACATTTAGTATTCCCCAACCTTGACAAGTAGATCAGTAGGTTGAAGTAAGCTTTTACTTGTTGGGAAAGGGTTGACTAATGTCAGACCAATGTATAATTTTCAGATGTTATGATTTTGATGAAGTAATAATACTTTATTTCACTAATAGGGGAAATCAAGTGCCACCTTGCCCAGCAGAAGATTGGAGAGCACACAATGGTAAGTTTGTCATTCTGCAAAATGCATGAGTAGAGATTAGAGAAAAAAAAGCAATTTATTTGCATATCAACCCTTCAAATTTATTACTTGCACTGCTCATGCCATTTATAGGTTCAGAGAGCTGTTAAGAAAGAACCAGTTTAGATGACCTACTACATGTATGTTGATTGCAAATTTACAATGTTGCAATAATGCTCTCAGAATAGTTCATTACAGGAGTTTTTTTACTGTTATAGCATACTAGTACTTGAGGTAGACATTTCTAATATTTGCGAGGATTAGTATATACGTACAAGGATATATGCTGCCATGTCCAGATTCAGATGTGTTTGAAAAATTAAACATTACTACAGTGTATATGGTACTATGTTGTTTCTGTTGTTCTGTACTTTCAGACTGTTCCGGTGTTAAACCCAACTCAAGCTGCAGTGAGGAGGAAGGAGGCTCGGAACTGCCTGACGAGATACAAGGTCCTGAGTGAGGGCCAGGGATACGCACTGGTGCTGCTGGAGCCCAGGCAAAGTACGACAGATATATATCTGTATCTGTATAGCCGGTATAACCGCCCTTCGGCATAACACACCAGCTTCGCAGGCATGCGGCGCGGCGGCAGCTGGCTACATCACACCGAACGACATGTTACACCTAACCCTTGAACATCTAACTCTAAACATTTTTTAAAGCTATCTAATGACAATGCCCCTACTGTACTTGGTGACAGTGAGATCCACTCTGCGATAGTTCTAGGAAAGAATGAGTTTTGAACACCTCAATCCTTGGTTGATAACGCTGGTACTTGAAGGCATGTCTTTCTGTGAAACAGTTTGTATTATGATGCTCCATCTTTCCTTATGCAATTTCTGGTGTAGTTCCTTTTCATCTAGTGTAAATACAGATTGAAACTAAAACTTTTGTGCTGTACTACAGAATTGTTTCAACTGCCAACTTAAAACACCATGAAAGTATTATAACTACTGTGAAATGCATTTGCTTTCTGAGTATTGACTGCTAAATTTTCATCAAGCATTGTTACATGATATACAAAATTATGTCTTTCTTTTGAACATTTCATCATTTCTGGCCTTGTTACTGTGTACTTTCTAGTGTTTGTTGACCAACTGCAAGTCCATCTGACCACCAAGCTGTGCAGTGTCCTCGGGGACCATGTGTACTCCTCTCGTGTGGGGAGTGTGGCAGGAGTACCTGCACTCATGGAGCCAAGCAATGTTGGCCCAAGGACACAGGTAAAATAGTCTTCTTTTTGACAAATATTTATACCAAAACACACAACTAAAGTTCAGCTACACTGGGGAGCTTTCGATACGCACTCTGTCTCTTCTTCAACCCCGTTAAGATCTTGTCGTAGAGTTCTCTTGTCACGTGACAAGGTAGTCTTCTGTTTTTTTACTTTCATGCTTATTTATGATGGATATTTTTAAAGGAAACATACATGCAGGGTTGCCGTATTGTTTTTTTATCAGCCTTCTGCATATTACACTCTACGCTGAATTCGGAAACTTCTCAATTACGCTTTAGGCCACACCAAGTAAATTTTATGGATGACGTCCTCGCGCGCATTGATTTTGGCCTGTTCCTAGAAAAAAAAACAAGAAATTCCGCTTCCTGTAACTATGACCAAAGAGTCACGACAGTGCCGCAAATTGTTAGATTGACTTGAAACCCGTATCGCGAAATGGGTAAAGAGTACATGCTTTGTTTCTGCAGGCCTGCAAAAATGTGAAAGAAACAGGACAGGACGACAACTGCTGTTCCACCTGATTTATTGCTGTTTTGATGATGAATAAAAGACTTATTGCTTGTTAATCTGTGTGTCCTAACATTTGTCATCTCATAGTATATTTCTAATCTAGGCATCTTGTTTTTTAGGGCCCTTCTTGTTTTTTTTTTCGCCCTCTCGCATTAGATATAGGGTCTCCAAAGGACGTCATCCATAAAATTTACTTGGTGTGGCCTTACAATAAATTCCAAGTGGCTACAACGCATTACGTAGAATTAAAATGGCAAATACACTCAGCAAAATGCGCCAATTACGCTCTACGTTGAATTAGAGCGGTCTGTCTATGCTCTACGTAGAGTTGAAATGGCCGATTACACTCTATGGAAAAGGGCATGCGGGCCCCATTTGTTCATTTCCATCGTTTTTTGCCTTTCAGCGAGTGCCAAAGGACATTTTGAAGAGGATGAACCTGCGTGCCATCCAGATGCACAAAGTCCCTGTCCACCTGCACTGTGGGGAGATGGTCCTGCCGGGGTACAGGGGACAGGACGTCAGGATAACTGCCCCCCTCCCCAAACACTTTCTCTGGACATTACAGCTGCTAGGACTGAAGGACCCCACACAAGAGTCATGAAGTACAGATGTACAAAGTTCCCAAACTGCTTCATAGTGAAGAGATAGTCTTTTCTCACCCACAAACCCACCCAACCAACCAACCAACCAACCAACCAACCAGCCCCCCCTCCCCAAATGCTTTCTCTGGACACTGCAGCTGCTAGGACTGAAGGACCCCACACAAGAGTCATGAAGTACAGATGCACAAAGTGCCTGTCCACCTGCACTGTGGGGAGATAGTCTTGCCGGGGTACAGGGGACAGGACGTCAGGATCACCGCCCCCCTCCCCAAACACTTTCTCTGGACACTACAGCTGCTAGGACTGAAGGATCCAACACACAAGCCATGACGTACAGTGAACAGTTGCACTGTGAAGAGATAGTCTTTTCTCACCCAACAGTACCCCCCTCCCCACACACTTTCTCTGGACATTACAGCTGCTAGGACTGGAGGATCCCACACAAGAGTCATGAAGTACAGTGAACAGTTGCACTATGAAGAGATAGTATTTTAACACCCAACTCAAGGATGTTATATCAACTGTAAACACACACCCCCTAAACACTTTCTAGATCTCTGGACACTACAGTTGCTAGGACTTAAGGATCCAACACAAGAGTCATGAAGTACAGATGTTCAAAGTTGCTGTACAGTTGCACTGTGAAGAGAAATAGTCTTTTCTCACCCAACTGTACCCCCCTCCCCAAACACTTTCTCTGGACACTACAGCTGCTAGGACTGAAGGACCCCACACAAGAGCCATGAAGTACAGAAGTTCAAAGTTCCTGTACAGTTGCACTGTAACTTGTGTAAGGAGATAGTCTTTTCTGTGAAGGGATAGTCTTGTCTCACCCAACCCAAGGACTTTATATCAACTGTACCCCTTCTGCAAACATTTTATATGGACACAACAGCTGCTTGGATGGAAGGACCCCACACGAGTTGTGAAAATGATATACAAACAATAAACAATTCATGAGTAGGATGCTTTTGTAGGTTTCACCCATTTTTTATTTATATACTTGTACTTTAATTTCAACAAAATGCACACTCTTTAATGTATATTGTAAGTTGTAGTGATATACTATTACTAGTAGTCAGAGTTGTTAAGTTTCCACGTAATTACATGTACTTATTGCTTTCTCTGTCTACATAACCAACATATCAAATCCTAAATTCTGTTCTTTGGATCAAACAAGCTGAATAGTTGTCGCAAACATAACACACTCTGCCTGGTGCATTCATATTAAGAAGAAAGTATGGGAAAAGTGTAACATAAAGTCTACTCATGGTATACCAAAAGCACATAATGCTACAGACTCTGAGGTAGAGTTTAAACTACTAAATGTGATCACTTAAAGTTATTCTAGTATACACACATGCATAACATACTATTACTTTATCACTTTGCTTACCGGTAAATACAATGAGGATTGGATTATAAACAACATACAACTCATCAGTATCAATAACAACATATCACGGCCTTTTGATCTGAATTTGACATATAATAATACAGGATTTGAAAGCCAAATTGATAGTCAGCTGTTGCATAGTCTTCATTTCTTCCCCTATTTTTCATTGCTCCTGGTATACACAAGTCTCTACCAAACTCCAATGGGTTGCTGAAAACTAGTAGATTTGGCAAAATAGGATGCCAAGTATCATGAAAGTTCATCTGTGTTGGTAGTTACATGTTTAGAGTTAAAATTTTTGATCCACCACAAAAAGTTCTCTCACCTAGAGCATTCGACCTGTCACTCTGGTCTTCCTCAGTAGACTGACCCAGTGAGGCTTGTCACGCGGCTTCTTTGAAGTGTGACGTCAACACTGGGTCTACTGAGGAAGACCAGAGTTTGGTCAAAAGCTCTAGGTGAGAGAACTTTTTGTGTTGGATCTTAAGTTTTAACTCTAAACAGGGTGCCAAGTGTACTCCTGTGTACTCCTTACTCTTTTGGCAAATTATTCAGTGTATTTGGCCAAATCTACTATTTTTCAGCAAACCAATGGAGTATGGTAGAGACAAGCATATGTCAGTACCACATGAACTTTCTTTAAACTCCCTGGAGGTCATTTTTACATGTAGGCTTGGTCAGGAATGGGCCCAGTGAGGAGGAGTAGGTGGAGATGGTGTACCTGAAATAAATTTTAGGAAAATCATCAATGCATCGGCCTGTCAAATCATACTGATGTGTTATGGAAGGTTATTCACCAGAGCAGGGGGCTAGTTCAATGGTAATTTTGGTTTTCTTTTTAATGTCCACGATCATGATAATGATCATTCTGGCATACTGTTTTTCACCTGAGGAAAGTCATGTAAAGTGTCTTTCCCAAGAGCACAAGATCGGTGACAAGGTAGGGTTCAAACCTGGGACCTCTTAGTTCCAAGCCGAACATGCTACCACTACGCAATACTGGCTTGTGTGTTCAACTCCCATACTCTTTCCCAAATGCTGGAGTGCTAAGCAGTGGATACCATTTTTGGTATGATTCAGAAGGAATTGGACTCATCACCTACACAGGCTACTGAATTCAGGGCAAAGTTTGTACCCATTTATAGGCCATAGCACCAGTCAGTCTAGTAGGCAACACTGTAGTAATAAAAAGTCCTTACGCCGTTCTATGACATTGTCGTCCACACATGGCACAGGTGGTCCCCCTGGTTCCCCGGGTACTGGTAACCCTACTGTTGATTCCACCAGCCTGGCTCCAGCAGTGTCTGCACCACTGGACCCTTCCATTGACACAAGTCTCAAGTTTGCTGGAAAATAAGGAAAACATATTTCCACAAAGTCCCCTAGTGTAAGCATGATGAACACTGTAAATCCCACAATACTGAACAACAGATGGCCTGTATAAACTAGGATTTAACCATGGTCTAACTGATGGAGGCCATTAGACAAGTAACTGTACAATGAGCGTGAATGATAGAACACATTGGTACCATATGTGGGGGCTACTGAGCCTTTACATATCGCTAGTCCAATAAATACATGTACATAGTCACCATATACTTGACAGTTGACAAATGACACTTTGACAATTACAAGTTAATGTACAAGCAAGGGTTCAAAGTCTGACCTTGGGTGTTGTAGGAAAATGGCTTGTTCACAGATACATGTATACACTTGCCCACTTTAGTGTGCCTTGAATTGTGTGTGTGTGTGTGTGTGTGTGTGTGTGTAACTAAGGACATCAAAATACATATTCACAGTAGCCTGGTTACCAAACCTTATAATTATAGCTCCTGAGTCCTACATCCTCTCAGCAAATATTTCCGGAGAGGATATAGGACCCGGGAGCGTATAATAGGTTTGGTAACCATGTATGGTAAAACACTCACACACTTGTAGAACACAGAAATTTTATACTCACAGGGTGGGTCTGCCTTTATTCTGTCAAATTCCTTCAGTAATTTTGTAACTAAGTGCACTTGGGTCCTTTTCTTTGTCATGGCCTCACACATGGCGTCAAATGCGTTGGGACCGCCCTGCTGCACCAGGTCAATGAACTTGCTAATCTTTTCTCCGGAGGTGGAGCGTCTTTCGATAATTTCCTCCGCATCGCGGTCTAGCATGCGCTGTGACCTCAGGTACGGTAGTAGCTTCTCGAATTCCAGCCGGTTATCACATAGCTCACTCCGGAGATTTTCAAGGACCTGCAGTCGAGAAAAGTTTAATATATAATAGTGTGTGACATACACATTTGACCAAAAGTGTCCAGTGCTGTTTATAAGATTAATATATTACATGTATTTTCATATCTGATTGAATGAATGAATTATGACACAGTAAATTGAATAATAGACAATGCGTAAGGTATCGAACAAAATTAAAGAAATCAAAAACACAATGTAAACCACTTAGTAATGTTTGTTTTTCTTGGTTATACCCGTATAACTATCCAAATAAACCACTTACTTAGTAATGTTTGTATTATTTCAATCTATGTTATATTTAAAGCCTAATAAAAGTGTGACCACTTCCTTGAAGGAAGTACAAGGGGTACCCCCTTGTCTAAACCTCTGTCCATGGCCTCGCAAATGATTGCTTTTTGTGGTTTCCAAACATTAGTCCCAGGAGAGTCCTTGACCAGCCCAAAATGACAAGAATAGGTCCAAACAGATTGTCCAATGTACTGGCAGTTATGGATCAGAACTGGTGCGTTACGCAGAAGGGCAGTCATGCCGGTTATACAGATACAGAAGACGAAAGAATTGCGGCTTACTGTAGACCCCCTAGGGGCCACACCCACCTGTTTAATAGTTCTGTGGGTCGTTGCCCCGTTGTACACCACGGTCTTAATATATCCTGTGAAAATCAACTCACCTCCTTTTTGAGAACATGGTAGTACTCCTCTTCGTCGTCGAACTCTTGCGTGAACCCTCCTCCCGCCATGATCACGCTCTGGTGAACTCATAGAAATATAGGAAGACAACTTCCCTTTAACCACTTAAATAGCCGTGTGGTGACTACAACTTCCGTCACATGTAACCCCAAGGCGTGTCGTTATGTCATGTCTTTCCCATGGGCTTCAAGTTCCTGTGAAAAGAACGCGGGGTGGACCACTGTGGGGGTGGATAAAGACCCACTAAAGAGGCCAGCGCTCTCCTTCCTGTTCTGTGACTTTTGTTACTTACTTCCGGGTTCCGTGCAAGGCGAGAAAGAAACTCCCGTCGGCCTTTGCGCGAAGGTTTACTTCTGCAAAGTTTTTCCTCGTCTTTTCTTCTTAGTCTTATAACGTTAAATACAGGAACAAAACCATTTCTTCTCCCCAAAACCACGTAAGCGCTAGGATTTAAGACGGAAATGAAGTGAGTTGCTTGCCTTTTGTTTCTTCTTCCTCTTCTTCTGGAAACAAATAAGGTCAATGACCTGAACCAGAATTAACGTTAACATTATGCATTTGCTTTGGAAATGTTACCTTTCTAGTTTATTTTTGATTCAATGATACACTAGACTAGATGAACCATCTTGATTTCATTTATGACATCAAAATCAAAGACACAAGATTTCTTGGTGAAAGACAATTTATTAAAATCCAGGTCATAATAGCCAGAGAAGCACCTTGGGTACTTTTGTTTGTTTGAGTCCTTGTTTTTTCTTGCACTTCAGAATGGGAAAAGAAGAATGTCGATGAAAAGAACTACAATCTTCCATCCAGTTTATCTGTTCCCAGCTACAAGAATGACCAGACCGGTGCCTGTAACAGCTTAATGTACTGGTATAAATTCTACAATTTTCTACCAGCTGTAGTGCTTTCATAGCCTCTACCAGGCTTCGGAGGCGGCTGGAAAGAGTAGAAATTGGCCAAATAGAAAGATAGCATGCCGGGGAGTTGGTCTGTTGGAGAGAACAGTTTGCCACTCGGGCATGCTATCTCTCTATTTGGCTGATTTCTACTCTTTCCAGCCGCCTCCCGAAGCCTGGTAGAGGCTAGTTCTTTACTGTGAATGATTTAATTGGATGAAGTTTGTAAGCACCAGTATATCATTATTCATGATGAAACCGCGTATGAAACGCCGATTTCAGGGCCCGAATGCTAGCTCCGATTTCTACTGTTTCCAGCCGTCTCCTGAAGCTTGGTAGAGGCTATCTTCCACAGGCCTTTGTGTTTGGCAGCAACACATTGACATTCAACTTCTAAAAATATAAATGCTTTTGATTGTAAACTACATGAAGACAAGGAGTGCTTTGCACTGTCTCTTTTCTTCCATAATTAGCTTCTGTGCTCCTGGCCTCAGAAGTGGAACCAAATGTTACCTGTGGCAATGCTAATGATTCACATTCAAAGCTACTCCATACCATTGGAATGTTACTATCATAAAATAAATACATGTAGGTGGCATCCATTCTAAAATACATCACAATTGTGCATTTATGCACTTTCCATTCCAAAAAATACTTATTGTAGTGCATTGTAGATTTTGTCACATATGAATTCTAAAGTTTCTCCAACATGAAGCTACAAAGAAACAACAATCACAACTATGTAGTTTCTTCTTCAGTGCTACAAGTAAAATCCTCTTCAGTACAATGTACATAAAGATATTCTTACCCATACAGGATAAGGTATTCATTATTATAGTACAGCTGTGTTAGAATATTCATCATTTTTTAGCTCTTTGGCACATAATCGTTCCCTGAAGTTTACAAACACATGTTTGTAACTGTTTGATATTCCACTGTTTGAAAAACTATGTCATCAACAATGTAATAACATAATACATTAGATTCTCTTTTATCATTACTAAATTCTCATTTGAGAAATGTTGTGAGCTACTGAATTCATTTAGAATTCAGAACTACAGTCAAACAAGTACATGTGACCACCTCTACATAAAGACAACCTGGAAATGTGACTTTTTGATGGCCCCTCAGGTAAATTTTCCCATTAACACAAGCATTAAGAATTCTGTCTTAATGACCACCTGTCCATGCACATAGACCAGATCTTCTTGGAGAGTTTAGACTGTAATTTGATGACAGGATACTGGCCAAAATTCAGTAGTATAGACAACTGGAATTTTAGTTACATAAATTTTGTTGCCTGTACATGTATTAATTGAATGCATACCTGAGAAAAACACACAATGTAATAGAATTGCATAAAATCATCAAAATCTTCATGAATAGTCACAACTGTTACAACTCAGTGTGGCGATCCCCACTTCCATCCATGTTGTTTTGTTTTGCTACAAACTGGGGATGACCCTGGATGTAGTCAGCAGCATTCTGCACAATTCTCATGAACTCTGCAACGTCGAAACCGTAGTTCACAAACTTGGAGTGTTCTCCAACGGATGGATGGGACCCCTGGAAAATTGGGGAGAGAAACAATTGTTTATAAATGCACATAGCAAGTAGTTGCATCAACACCATCACGGACTTGCAGTTGCCAGGCAACAGAGGCCGTGGCAGGCCTAGAAAAACTTGGTTGGAGTGTATCCAGAACTGAAGGATATCAAGGAGTGTGGTCTGTCCAGTACAGACCCACAGGACAGAGCTAGCTGGAGGCGTGGTGTCCAGAACAGCCGACTGCTGCCCACCCCTGGGACAGGGAAACCGACAGCAGTATAATCTAAACACGGATAGTGAGTGAGTGAGTGACATACTGTCGCCTTAAATGTATATAAGCCAGTGGTCTCTAGAGTAGAATGTTTGCCTTGCAATTGTATGGGTTGGGGGTCAAATTCAGTACACCACTCCAGCTACCCCCTACTGTAGTGAACTGTGTGGCTCAAGGGCTGTAGAACTTTAGATGATCACAGCCTTTCACACAGAAAAGGTGTGCTACTCCGAGCCCTGGAAAATTGGGGACCGAAAAAACTGTTTTATAAAAGCACAGACTGTAGCCTTATTAAAAGCCAATGGCCTCGGGGCAGAGTGTTTGCCTTAGCTTGCAATTGTATGGTTGGGGGTCAGATTCAGTACACCACTCCAGCTACCCCCTACTGTAGTGTACTGTGTGGCTCAAGGGCTATAGAATTTTAGATGAGAACAGTTTTCTTTACCTTTTCCCTCTGTGTGATTTTATTCTCCTTCTCCCATGTGTAGTATTGCACCCCACGCAGGCGAGCCAGGTCTTTGTAACAGCGAGGATCCTCACAGTTGTAACTGGAAGACAAGTTGTTGTAAGATTCAATGTACTGGCATACATGAATCATAAGTTTTGGCAATCTTGATTCAGTCAAGTCAAAATGGCAGGAAAGTTATTGATTTTGTTCTAACACAATGCAATGACATTATGTTACAATACAAAATAATAAAAATGCAATTCCAATGTTGTTTCACCTCTTAGATATGTTATAACAACGGTCCATCTCTAGATCTGTTGAGGCATGTACAGAGAATTCCTTTATCCTGCATGCTTATGCTAAACACATCACTTGAGTTTGATGCTGTGTTGGAACATGAAAACTTTTGTGTTTGTGCTTTCTTTTTGCTACAGTAAGTATCTTAGTTTACTTTGTTGTCCAATTGGTAGTGCTATAAGCTTAAGTTATTACAGGTATGAACATTTTTAAAAATCAAGACTAGTTGTATTCAACCTCCTTGGTATGAATAAGTAACTTACAGTTCGAACAACACCCCCCAGTCCGGCAGGAAGAGTGAGTGTGTGAGACCAGCTCCGTGCATGCCGATCAGCAGGTCAGAGTTCTGGGTTACCTACACGGACACGTCATGTTAATTAGCAGTTTTTAATTAGTACAGATTAACTTAAGTCATTTAGATTTACTACAGATTCAACTTAATTTTTGCTCCTATTTTAGTACAGTGTTTTCACCATGCAAGCTACATCAAGATCCCTAGAAGTAATCATTCCACAACACAAGTAGAACATTGTATTGAAAGAAACTTTGTTACTGTGTATACTGAGCTATTTTCATTCATATGAAGGTGGGAGGGGGATTTACAGGAGTAAGAATTATATTATTATGTACCTTAAGCTGTTCTGTAAAGGACATCTTTCTGTTTTCCACAGAATTGCAGGAATCACCACCACAAGAGAAGGTAGAAATGGAAGATATAGCTTCAGATGATGCAAGTCCAAAAGCATATCTATACATTTACTTCCTACCAAACACATTTTTCCTAGCCTTAAAGACATACATGAACTCACAAACAATAAAAATGTTCAAAGATTGGAAACAATGTACAATTTCATTTACCATACTATGTTTTGCTTAATAATTATGAGTGATAATAACTAATCACATACTGTTTTGCTTAATAATTATGAGTGATAATAACTAATCACATACTTCCAGTTGTAGTCCACTCTCCTCACATCCAGTCTGGTTTCAGATTTCATAGCATTCAGCAGCTACAGATAAACATAGAGTAATGTATACAAACATATTGAGCATTGGCTTTCACATAGACTCGATATCCGTTCATCATAATTCATTGTCTTCAAAACACACAAAATTTCATGACAAGATCGTCTTTGTTTTCATAACAAGTTCCAAATGGGGGCATTACAAGAACTACATAAAGTTATTGTGATGAAGTTGATGAACACAATGCAGCACTGATGAAGCATATAATTAGCAATAGCCAGTAAACTAAAAAAAAATGTCTTTTTACCTCTTCTTCATTGAGGATCCTTCTCCATTTTGTAGACCTACTCAGCAGAGTCACTCGTACCTTATCTCTCTGAAATATTATGCACATGAAAATTATAGCCTTTTATTGCTGTTACCAAAGTGCTGTATTATATAATCATATTTGGGGCAATAAAATATGATGACATCATCCTTATGGTCCATAAAATCATATTCATAACCCTTTTGTACCCAGGTATAAGTATTCAGTACAACTACAGTTCTTTCTAAATTTCTTTTGTGACAATACGATGGAAAGATAAAATGCCAAATTAGCTGGTGAGGAAACCTTAAGGATTAGAAACTAAAAACCTTACCACTGGGCCATCCTGTGTAATGTTGAGTCGATGTAACACGTGCTCAGAAAACGCTTTGAACAAGGCTGTTCCACTGCAACCTGGGACCTGGCAAGAATTGACGGCAGGAAAAAGAAGTCATGACTATACAGTAGCAATATTACTAGTATTGTAGAAATTGCTTGATTTAGAGTTGATATTTCAAGCAGTTGTTGACATGGAAAAGAAGTCACGACGATACAGCAGCAATATTATTATAGAAATTGCTTGATTTAGAGTTGATATTTCAAGCAGTCGTTGACTACAATATACATGTAATATACTAGTATGTAATGATAAAAAGATATTTCAATTAGACCCAGTGATGGTATTTTATATAATGATAAAATGATTAGGATGAAAGACAACAATGCTATGGTAAAGGCCAAACATAAATAGCGATTAAAGCTATTACACACATATATATATATATTGCCCCAAAAGGAACACTTACAAACCTCAGGTGAAACCAAAGCACTACTTCTGGTGAGATTGTTACTTTGGGTCTGCAATAAATTCCTACCATTTTGATAATCATCATAGATTTTACCCCTGGGAAACATAGCACAATTTATCTAGCCCAGTAAAGTGCAGACTGATGGGATGCAACATTTAGCAGGCGTAGAGTGGAAAAAAACAAAGATGCGATCAATATGTACTTAAGCTGGTGTGTTACGCTAAAGGGTGGTTATACTGGCTATACAGATACTTACGAGTGGCATGTTGTAGTACATGCCATACTGCATGCGGGGCAGCAGAGGGAAGACGGCATCACGGATACACACCTGAAGAAAAGTTATAAAGCAAAATTGTCTAAAGCTCTAAACCACAATATATGGCACACAGAGACTATTTTTTTTACAAAACCAAGTGAATAAAACACTTGGTTGTGTAAAAAGAGTCTCTTTATTCAGTTACTTATCAAACAGATGAGACTATTCACGAAACATAGTTAACACAGTAATGTACATCCTCTATACAGTAGTACAGTACATATAGAATACAACATGGGGTATTCCGTATCGCCCGAGGTATCGGCCCGACCGCGGGTCGGATCGCGGGAGGGCCGGGACCGAGGGCGATGCGGAATACACCGTGTTGTATTTTATTTATGTCATACCCACCCAAGAAAACACGCCTTTCAATGCAAGATGAGCCAAAAGTTGGTGCCACTAAACCCTCAAATGCAACAACATCAGTTCCAACATCCGGATTCTGTATTCGAATTTTTGAAAGGGGCACACGCGGTTGGGGCGAAACGCGTTCGAATCGTTTTATGGAAGCCATGGAAGCGTTCGATAACGGGTTCCAGACCGGGCCGTACCGTAAAGTACGGCCCGGTCTGGAACCCGTTATCGCACGTTATCGCGGCCCCGGTATGATATAAAGTTCTATATATCATATATATATAATGGTTACTGTACCTTCTTGCCATCATACTCCTTCAGGTGAATGATCGGGTAGTCTGAGAAAGCCCTCCAGGTGTCGCTGAAGAAATCTCCGTATCCAAGCCCACTCTGAACACAAAGACGTGGCTGTTACAATGCATGTCATTATGATGTAACGTCAACACAATCATCATCATTGGCATCCACCAGTGCGAGTCAGAGCATTTGTGTCCATGTCAGGGATCTCCTCATCAGTTCAGAGGATGGCAATATTGCATGTGGCTGCTCAGGCCCAGATCAGAGAATCTAGACTTCTAGCAAACACATTATGTCAATATCTGTATAATCTTGTTAATGAGATTGAGATACTATTATATAAAATGGAAAGGGAAGGCAGTCAGCACCAAGGGCAGGAAATGTAGTGTTATGTGTAAAGAATTAGAGTTTCATATACTGGCCACTTTAGGTTAGAAACTGTGCTGAAAATTTAGATCTTCTATCATATACTACTATATTGTAATGCAATGGATGTCAGTCAGCACCAAGGACAGGGAAGAGTCTGTTACATTTCACATTATCACTACACTATACGTAATCATATGTATTGATATTCTTGTACGTAAACTGTCATTCAGTCACTTTTTAAAGGAATTATAGTAAAGGACCTCCACCACTTGAATTTAGACAACATCAACCCACAGGATAGAGGCAAGCGGCGGGCTGCCATCAAGCCTCAGTACCACGTACAGTGCAATCACGTTTAACCCTCAGAAGATGGGGAACAACAGACAATAAACCGGACAGTGAGCAAGTGAGTGAGTAAGTTAATAGTATATTTTAATGACGCAAACTTACCGTGTCCCACATGATGATGTTCACATCCTGAGAGAAGGAGCCGTTGATGTGCTGAGAGGCGTACAGGTTGATAAAGTCACAGAAATGATGGTACATGTTTACACCTGAAAAACAAACAAATAAACAAAGAAACATTATTGGGATGACATTCTGTAAATATTATGGATGAAAAGAGCAAAGTTACAAGAGGAAATCCAGTTCTTTTGAATATTCAAAAAGTTAAATTAGTACACTACAACTACTTACAGACAATAAATGTACAGTTATTGAAACAATAGTCGACTTTTTATGTTGAATTTCAGACCTACCAGCATCCAGCTTCATAAGGTATGTTGGCTTGTCCAACACAACGTCACACTTGTCATCATGAATTGGCCGGAAAGGCAGAGAAGTAAACATCTCTAACTCTGCATACCTGGATCATAATGAAGTTATAAGATATAAATATTAAAACAAAGGTGCATGTAATGTTATAAAGACTGCAGCTGTCATATTTCAATACACTGTACATAAAATACTAGAAGTATTCAATTACCAAGCCTATAGAATAATATTACTGCAATATGTCATATCATCCTCTTCCTGCAAAACTTGGGATTCTTTGTGAGTAAGCTCCTTACCAAGACTGCAGTGCACTCTTGTGTTTTCCTTCTGCAGCCAGCCTGCTGGGGTACAGCTTGCAATGCCCTCCGACCTGGCCAGCTTTGAACAGATTCTCCCTATACCTTAATTACAGAAAAAGAAACAAAAAAGACTAAGACTTACACTTGCAGATACACGTATAGTGTACAGAAATAATACAAGTATACATTATCACTTACATACATTTTTGTTACTTTGATTAGTTTTACTCCACATAAGAAAGCAAGCAAGATAAAAATTATGCATTCTTTCATCACGGATACCACAAAAATTAATCAAGGACTGGTGAAAATGCAGGAGGTTCACCATGACCTCCTTGATTACTTTGCTACAGCAGCCTGGTGGTGAAGTGCAGTAAGAATGTAACGTCTGTGTCCATAATATCACCAGGGTCCATAATATCGCCACCTTGAGAAAAAGTGTGCTTAAAGACATTTTTACTGCAACATACCCTAGGTATGTACATTTGATGTGTGCAGGAGTGCATACCAAAAGTATGTTGCAGTAAAAATATCTTAAAGCACACTATTTCTCAAGGTGGCAATATTATGGACCCTGGTGATATTATGGACACGGATGTTACACACCTGTTGCTGTTGTTCTCTGAATCCAGGTTAGCGAAGTCCATGTAGATGTTTGTAGCCCTGCAGTATCGCGAGTGTTTCACACAGCTGAGGGAGGAGTCACCCTGGAGATGATGAAAAACAACCATTGCGAATGTGAGGAAGTTTGTTGACAAAATATTGAGAACAGACATTTTCTGGCAGAAAGAGGATTACAAAAAAGTACAACTGTCTTAGTGACAGCTCAGTGATATCCAAGGTCTTCCATATAGATCAGTCAAGTCTTCAAGGTCTCAAAGATTCCAATTGCCCAATGGTTTGACCTAAGAAAATGGAAAATGGGGCTTCTTTGTAAAAAAAAAATTCTTATTATCTAGCAGCTAACCATTTACCAGCAAGGCTTGGCCTTACCTCCTCCTTAGGTTTACACATGACAGTCATCTCCTGTAGTCGCTCCCACACGTACCCAAAGTCAGCCTCCTTCCAGAACAGGTCTGCATTCTCCTCAACGGTACGGGCTGAGCCCCTGCACAGACAGACAGACAGAAAGAAGGACACAGATTTTTCAAAGTTCTTCACAAAGGATTGTAAATACTGAGTCAGACGCAATTCAGACTTTTGTCTGCTATGTGGTATTTGAAATAAAAAGTTTCAAATCCCCGTTTTTAAAGCACTTATTGCATGAGCAAAGCCACATTGCTAGTAGCCTGGGTAGCATCCTCCAAATAGTTTCTGCCAGCTACAAAGCCAGGGACATTATGGAGCTGGCAGAAATTATGGTGGATGGAACCCAGGCTACTTATAATGTAGTAGCTACTTGAGAAATCATCATGCTTCACCTCCATGGAGATTATGATAAAAGAAGACAAGAAAATTTTTGCAGTCAACTTGCAGATGGTGAGGAAACATGCAGCTTCTATGTAGCTGGCTGACCAACAACTGCAATACCTCAAGTAATTTGTGCCACCAAAATCCTTTCTTATATATAAGAGTACTGCTTGATAATGAATATTATGCACAATCAATACAGTCTTTATCAAAGTTCATGGAGACTTGGTGATCCTACAGTACATTTCTTAGAAACTCGATCACAAATAATTGAATCAAGAGAGACCTTAACTGAATTACGTTGATAAGGCGGGCTCCCAAGGTTCAAACAAGCACCAAATCAAGGCCACAGAAAATTACATCAGAACCAAAATAAATCCTTGTGCTATGCTGTATTGGCAAACCCTACTGTAAGAATTACTTAGTACATTTTTTTTCATCATCTTATTTACTGTAACCAGTTTTTATCATATCAAATAAGCTACACCATCACATACATGTAAGACAGTCAAACACATTACATAGGTAGATAAAGAAAATTAAATTCATCTAAAATCTCACCATCCAGTGTTGGCTATAGTACAGGTAGGGTTGTGAAATCTGTTTTTCTTCTTGCAGTTTTTCTCATACCCCCAGCATACCTTCTTACCAAGGTAGTCCTGAAATGACACATAAAAACAATAATGCCATATGAATAATGGGTTGTTCACAAATTCTCTTGGAAGAAGAAAACATGGGAAAATTTGCATGAAGTCTCATTGATGTATGTCCTAACAACAGGGCTCAAAATACTGGGTCATGTGCACCTTAGTGCACCCAAAATTGAAGCTGTGCACCCAATTTTTCTCTGTGGGTGCACCGGTGCACCCAGATATTTTTGCAGGTTTATGTAAGATTTTAGATGTACAAAATGTATACTGATATACACCATATTCTTGACACCTGAGTGTCAGAAAAGTGATGAAATCTTTGTTGATTAAGATTATTTTGCACCCGAAAAATTTTGGTGCACCCAATTTTTTTATGTTGGGTGCACCAGTGCACCTATTCCCCAAAATGAATTTCTATCCCTGCCTAAGGAAAATGCCACCATAAATCCCTTCAGCTATACAAATTACTGCACTCTAGTCACTGATTGCTTTTCTCACAAAGTGGATTAGGATTGATCCACAAACAAAATGCTGGTAGCCTGGGTACCGTCCTGGTATTATATGTTATGTCTTGCCTGGTTTTGTATATCAAAGCGCTACCATTTTTTTATTTTATTTATTTATCTATCTATTCTTAATTTGCCAAAGGCCCATATGAAAAACAGGGACAATAACAAAAGTACAAATACACAAATTACATACAGATGTTTAAAAAGTACGACCAGTATGGATATTTGATGCTAATTTTGTACAAAAATTATGATTTTCAATGACTAGTTTTGGACTTCTAGTGAACTTTGTATGAAATTTTGCTGGAAGATAAAATAAAAGTAAAAGTAGTAGTAGGATTGGTCATTACCTTATATGGGCATTCATCATCCTGCTCACAAGTGCGTGCCAGTGCATGATGGGAAGAGAAGAAGTACGGGAGATGGGACTCGGGTAAGTTGAGATGTGGCAGTGTCTGGGAGACTTGGGGTGAACTTTGCAGGATGATCACTAACAGCAGCAGACCTCCACCTAGCATGGACATCTCAGGAGAGCTGAAAAAAACAATGACGAGAAAATTACTTGATGGAATTTTGCCACTCATGACGATCAAAAATTTTGCCCAATGTGTCATTTTTGTTGGACAAAAAACAGCGTGTAAAGATATGGAAAGAGATGTCATTAAACTAAGCTGAAGTCTACCAAAAGTTGCCCCTCAAAATGCAGGAAATGGAGTTTCAGAGGGTCAAAATTTCAACATTTGAAGGGGAGCTTGCCGCCAGACCCAGATTGTTATGCCTTTTATGCTCGACAATCGACATGATGTTACGTCCAACAAAACTGAGATGAAGGAAAAAGATTCAGGCTGGCTAGAACACTGCTCTGATTGCCAACCTACCCAGCTTCCAGACTTGTTAAACCACAGCTTTTCCTGAAAATTGTTCACAAAAATCAAATCTGAAACTACTTTGATGACTCACAATAACATGGGGGCCCAGGCCTGATTAAATTTTGCTTCTGGACTGCGATAGTTTGTATTGCACCAAGGACATAATGTGATTTCACACTCAGACTAATCATTTTGTAAATAAAACATTTTCTTCTGTCTCGACTGGGGAAAAATACAGTATATTTACCACTTAATGGTATACTTTTCCAGGTCTTCAGAGATAGACAGAGGATTGCGAACATTTGTGAGAAAAAAGAAAATATTTTGCTCAAGAAACCTGTTTGGAAACAGTCAGACACTGAGTGACAGCATTCCAGCTAATTTTCAAGTCTTTCATTACACTGAGCTTTACTAGAATTAATTCTAACGATATGGGCTTCATGAATGCATTGCTTCAAAGCTGTCTAATGGTTTACAAACACTTAAAAATCAGTTCAACACGTTATTGCTGAGCAAGGAAGTTAAAAACACTTTTAACCTCTTGTTTAGAGCATCTAAAGCTGCAACTGAGCAGGGAAGTTAGAGAGAACCTGCCTTGAACTAAGACATTCCAATAGTAAAGTTTGAAGCAAAACATATGGTGCAGGAAAAAAATAAACGCAGTGCAGATTCCAGATGCAGAAGATTGTTTTTCCTGCTCTCTCTGTCATTTACAATTTGTTTCTGACTATTTGTCACTGTGAATGAGAAAATCTATTTGTTCCCATGAAGGCATATAAACAATACCTTGTATTGTAAAGGTCTGTAATATAACAACAAAGTTTTATCAGATTTTATGATTTCCAGACAAAAGATTACAAAGCTTCTTATGTAACAAAGAGAGAAAGAAAGTGCATGACATTGCAATCACCACCCTACCTGTTCCTTGTAGCATGCAGACTTCAGGTCCAGCCTGAGCACAATAGCCAGGTAGATGGGAACAGCACACCTGGATATAGATGAGGAAAGAAGACAGAGGAGCTAAGTCTCGCGAAACACGAGACTGCATTTGGACGAGAAATGGCGAGATCTAATTAAGTCCGACCAATCAGAGCGCGCGCTGCTGCCGCGACGTCATGTCTGACCAATCAGAGCAAAGCGTGCCTTCACCACGTGACGAGCAGGAAAAACGCCAGGTCACGAACTCTGACCCGTTGGACTGCGTGCTTATTTCTCCTGTCCATTTTCACCC